TTTTGACGACACTTGGTGCTTTTATCAGTTCCAAGTTGACATACAACAAAGCAGTTACCATAATTTACCATACAGATTAGTGACGAAGGAGCTTCGGAGTTACGGCCAAAGAAGAAAAGAAAGTAACAGAAAACATATGTATATGAGCACTCGCGTGATGATCATATTATTTCTGAGTCTGGGCTCTAATACTACTGCAATTCTTTCTCAAGTTCATCGAATTCCCATCCATCAACCTCATCTGCAGAGTAATCACGAGCCACCTTACCAAATTCAGATTCTAGCTCAGCTAGTTCCGCTTCAGGGTTGAATTCTTGACTGGAACCAGCAGCAGTGACCGGTGCCTTGGGAGGATTGCTCAACTCTGGCTTTTGAGTCGGAGTAGAAGATTCAACTGGAGCATCCATGCTAGTGCTTGGACTGGGGGATTTGGGTGTTGAAGCACTGCTTTTAGGTGATGGAGTCTCTATCTCTAACGTTGGCCTCGCTATGGATTCGAATTGTTGCCTCATTTTCTCCATGTCATCAAATAGCTCCTTCACACGCCGGTCATCCTTCCTGATATAGTGTAGGAGTTTAGGACTTAGCATAACAAAACTCTACCAATCAGTAAAAGTTAAGAGAGTTCACTTTCCACTCACTTTTCCAGTTTGGTTTGAAGAGCCTGGAAATGCTCTTTCATGTTATCCACTATGCTGAAGGTGGTAATGATCTAATTTTTTTTGATAAACCAGATCAGTTACGAGGAAGAGCAACCGGAAAAGAGAAAATACACGAATCAGATCAACGCAGAGTCGAATTTAGCTCCCTATTAACTGGGTCTCAATGATCGTGACCTACTAAACAGTAATTATTACCTTGGTCTCATAGTCTAGATACTCCATCTCCAGACTTTTCCTCGGGTTTGAAACTTGATTATCCCCCTGATCTGCACTTGGTGGCATCTCCGACCTGTCACCACACACGCGAAATTGTCACCATTTCTACTAGACAACTAAACTCCAAATGGAGGTATTAGGCAGAAACCAAGCTAACATAGGAGCAATCCGATTCAGCAATAGGCATTTACCCGGGACCCAGATTCTTCAGATTTTCCACATAATTTTCTATACGACTTATTAAAGGTGTCACCTCCTTCTGTACAATATGAATTTTTGTGTTAGCTCTGTCATTTGCCAATTACTAGTTTAAAGTTTCCATAAAAACACAGAGGTTACCTTGTACGCAGAGAGTATATTAAAGGTCACATCCGAGAAGTAATCCTCATGCTTCTCCAATTCGTCCCTAAGACATGGATTCACTGGATTATTCACTGTGGTTGTGCAGCAAAGCAAAAATTTTGCGAGAAACAGCTGAGAGTTGATAGAAATACAAAGTCTGCTTATCCTTCGTTTCGGTGTATGAGCATCGAAGAAGCCATGTATCCTCAAGAAAGTTAATCCATGTCTTGATAACTTCTGCCTCTTTCTTACAAGCTACAACTGATTTGGACAGGTCATCCTCCTGCGTGCAGAATCAATAGAAGCAAATTATTTCACGTGGATATTACAATTATGATAGCTATTCATCTAAAAGAAAATGCCACCTTTGTTTTCAGGTGAGCGATTATCTGATTGTTGGCTTCACCAAATTGATCCCTCTCCTCCGTTGCGTTACGGAACCGAGCTTGGGCAGCAGCTAAAGTTATATTGACCTACATGGAAATTTTCATCTGTTTAAGCGTGGTATGTAAATCTCAAGGATAAAGCAGGAAACCATATAGATAAAGCGGATTACAATACCTTCTTCAGTTCAGCTTCCAGCTCATCTCTTTGTTTCTCAAGTTGTGCAATTTCCGCACCCAATTCCTGTACATAATAAACATTAGGAAAGAAAATCAATACTGGCAGCTGATGAACATGCCGAAGAATAGTGCTACTGTTAAAAGCCGAAGAAATGACCTTTTCCTTTTCACCGGTTTCATTTGCTTTCACCACACGAGCTTTTAGTGCTTCTTCTTTCTGAAGTCTGCGAAAAGACAAATGGACAATTGGTATCCATTGATGGCATTTTTCCTTCAACTGACTAATAACCCGCTCAATTACACTAAGAGGCATCTAAATACAACATGACAAACTTTGATGAAGATCAAAATTGTCTTGACGGTCCCATGGTTCAAATTTGATAAGCATTTAGAAAGAAAACGTTTTCGATAACATTTGCTAAAGTTAGGCAGAAAACAGCAAGGTATGTATTGCACATTATCTCAGCAGTATTTGCTGAGCATAACACAGTGACACAAACTCTACAAAACTTAATACCTATTCATCTCGTCCGGTTCCATGTCATACCAAGATTGAATAAAAAAATCAGTCTTTAAGAGCAGATATAAGGAAACTAAGTGGAGGTAATGATAAGGTTAACCTGTTCTCAGATATTCGTTTCTCAGCTTTGGAAGTTGAATTTGCTAAAGATTCCAGTAACACCTTGAGTTTGTCGACCTGGTTCAAACACAAATTATCCATTATCATGCAAAAGTCATGAAATATGCTGTCATAGAATACATGAAACTCTTAATTCTTTGTGTCCTCACAAATAAGTTGAAAAATATGATAATAACAATAGCAATCAACTTGTGTGGTGGTTATGGTTGACAATAATAAAGCTCACAGACTTACTTTCTGAGCATGTATATCTGGTGAATCACCGTTGCTTAGTTGTCTCTTTCTAATTAAAAGCCCTTCTAATCTAGAGCAAAGACGAATCTTTGCAAGTGTTTCTTTGAGAGCCTGCAAAACCAGAAGTCTATTACATGGAGCTACTTAAATGTGCTTAGGGGGAGAAAGAAGGTATGGAGATGCTGCTCGCTTACCTCTATTGTTAAAGTTGTCTCTTTAAGTTCCTTGTCTTCACTCTCCTGGGGCAACCGAGCTGCATTCATCTTTTCGAGTTTTATTCTAAGATCAGAAGCTTCAGCATCAATCCTGAAAACATGAATTCAATGAACAGTGGTGCAAGATGAGAAAGCTCTTTGTCTCAGTCATTCATTATTGAGGAGAAACGAGAGCATAAAGCACATCACTAGCTGCATTTATCACCTCAGCATTTCAGCACTAATCTTCAACCCTGTGATAGCATTTTGGGCAAACTGAAGTAATTCGTCCTGCTTAACCTGTACAAGAGCAACCCAATCAACATATAAGAGTAAAAAAGTTAGGAGTAGATCCAAACGCCCATACATAAACATAAATGCTGACTCTTATTGCTCAAGCGCTTACCAAAACCTCATCCTTGTAACTCGAAAAGACTGTAGCAAGATCCTGCATACTGCTGACTATGGCATCATGAACTTCCTTTGCTCCATTCAGACAAAGCCTGAAAAAAATGTTAAGCTCTATAAATAAACCCATTAGGTATGAACAAAAAGAAGTCCAGCACTCTTTTTCGAAGTCAATTTTTCGCCATGCAATTTGGAATGCCAGCTAACTCACCCAAACATCTCCAGGAGTAGCGTGATTTCATCGTCATGCGGTGGTTCAATAATCTGTAATAGAACAGTAATACCATGGAGAAAGGGGAGTGTTTGTTATACTTATCAGAGAGCCACCAAAAGATGAAGTTTAGCTTGCGAAAGAATACCATGGACAGAACGATGCCCTCCAGAGCTTGACTTTGCAGAAAAACATCACGGAAGTTTAGAGGCTCACCTCCTATATCTGGATCGTAATACAAAACCTACACATTGAAAAGGATCTTCTGAAAGAATTCTATTGGAAAAGGTAATATATATATACCACATGAAATTAGAAGCAGAATAAATCTAAGAAACTCACTTTCAGTCACACTCTTTATCAAAAAGTATACTATTCTCCTATACAAAAGAAGGGAACACAAATAGTATACCCATTCACGTCTCTTTGCTTCATTAGAAGCAAGTAGTTCCTCGGAGGTCATTTGTTTATCACTTTGAGTAGCTTTATCGATCTCCTTAAGCACAGATAGCCATCTGGTAATCAGCAATGCTCTTTCATGACCTCTGTATGACACTGCAGCTTCTTCCAATCTCTGAATCGTCTGATTAACACTCTTAAAGGCCCCAGCACCCTGCAAAGTTGCATCATGCAAGTCTTAAACTAATGCTAATGTTCCAGCTGCTCAAGAGAGTATGATACTAGCTAATATCTGCTTTGAAAGATTATAACATTTATGAAGAACCAAGTAAAACAAATATGGTTGAAATGTCACAGCACACTCAAAATTTCTTAATAGCAAAATCATAAGGAGAATCTAGAAAAGATAGACCTAAATCACCAATCACAAACGGGAAAAATTAAAAGGAAAGGAGAAATTACAATGCGGTCTTGAAGCAATTTGGCTCCTTCAGCGACGGCTTGGCCAGCCTGCTGGACGACGGAGTCGGCATAGTTCCTAACGGTTCGTGTGATATTTTTGCGGTTTCCGACCTCCACCGCCTTATTCACGGCCGTTCGCAGCCACGACATGCTCTCGTCGATATTTCTGGTCTACAACGGAGTGAATCTCCTCGGGAAGAAACCAATTTTAGAGACTAAAATACCGAAATGAGAACGGTCAATGTTTTACTCGGTGAAAGTTTGAGGATTGCAATTTGCAGTCGACTGCTAAAAATAAAATACGATTTAAGAAATGTATAGTAGACACTTGGGTCGGATCTCGGATACTTTATCCACCCTAAATTAATTGGTACAAGGCCAAAACAGATTGCATTGCCGAAGAGGGCCCCACCTTTTCATACCCAAACACTTCAGATTCTCTTCTTCTCCGGAGCGATCAGATTTCACCGACGACGACGAGGGCTTAGCCTTCTCTTACTTTCCTTCGGAGAAACAAAAAGCTTAGAGCGACGGTTATATACATACCTATACTGTATATATAGACGGAGAGATAGATATTGAGAGAGAGAGCACTCCTTTTCTCAATCAGAATTAGGGTTTTAACACAGGAGAGAAGAACCACTACTACTCACAAGCAAGGGTAAAAAAATGTCGGGTCTCCATCGATCAAGTTCATCGAAGAACGTTGGATACTTGCTTCCCTCGAAGGAACTTCTTGACGATCTTTGCAGGTATTATTAATCAAATCGAATGTTCTTCCTTTTTGATTTTGGTTCGTGTAGAAATTGAAGCGATGAGCTCGAATTGGTTGCGGTACTGATGTTAGTGACGGTTTTACGGATGAATTATTGTTTGCAGTCGATTTGTTCTGAATGTCCCTGAAGAAGATCAACAGTCATTCGAGAGGATTTTGTTTCTGGTGGAGAGTGCTTACTGGTACTATGAAGATAATGCTGTAGAAAACGATCCAACGCTAAAGTCGCTCTCCTTGAAAGAGTTTACTTCGCTCTGTATCCTTTCTCGTTGTTATTTCCGTTTGATTTCGTTGCCTTCTGATTAATTATTCGTTCTTCCTGCTAATTTTCTTATCCTCACTGTTGGTAAAATGCTCGTAAATGAGAGGAGTATGGTTCCGTTTCTCATCAGTGTACAATCTGTTTGTTTTGCCATTTATTTCTCTGGATCTTTTCTCTTGACGTGAGCTAGTATTCAACAGCTGTGCTGTGCTGAGACCTTACGTTGCTAACATTGGTGACATATTCAAAGACTTCACTTCTTACAAGTGTCGAGTTCCGGTCACTGGGGCAATCATCCTGGATGAGACATACGAACGGGTTAGATATTTTAGGATTTTCATATATATATATTTGTATTGGTATTTAAGCTTACTTGTTAGTTCATGCTTACACTTTGCTTGTTTTTGTTGTGGATTTTCAGTGCTTGTTGGTAAAGGGATGGAAAGGATCAAGCTGGAGCTTTCCCCGCGGGAAGAAGAGTAAGGATGAAGAAGACCATGCCTGTGCTGTACGTGAGGTTAGTTTCGATTCTTTTACTTTCTCGTCTCCTGCGTGGTTCATTTGTTTTGTACTTTTGCAGCAAACTTGATAGCTCCAGTCTTTACTCACAAGTGCATATTTAAAAGGAATACTATGTTATTAGCATAAGATCGTTTATTGGCTGAGATTAAATATATATGTTAGGCTGTCACAAAATAAACTCACGTAGTGGATGCATTGACATTTGAAGATGTGTCAGTGTCAACATAATGTGCAGAGAGAACCTCTCATATATCTTCAGCTTACAATGGGGGTATCTCAGTATCACACTGGAGCTAATATTAATCTAACAGTTTGATCATAGTGCATCCTCCTTAGGTACTGGAAATAGGTTCTCATACTTGAGCTAGTATAGTTGAGCAAGGATAATGCTGTTCTTAGGTCACCAATAGACAGGACCTTTTGCAAATGAGATTTTTCTGCTGCTGTCAGTATGTTGTAGCTCTCTCTACTGTTATTCTTTGGTGCAATTTGTGCTGATGATTGTTTGCTTAAACTCGTATCATGGGTTAATGATAAAAAAGCTGAATGTTTTGTCACTCTTCTGTTCTGTTCTTCTATGTTAAACACAGGTTTTAGAGGAAACTGGGTTTGATGTCTCAAACCTGCTAAAAAAAGAAGAATATATTGAGTTTACGTTCAGGGAGCAAAGAGTACGACTTTTCATAGTTGCTGGGGTGACAGATGATAGTTTTTGCACCACTCACGAAGAAGGAAATCAGTGTATGTATATCACAATCAACCTTGTGGGTGTGATCTTGTCTGCTGCGTATGTATGGTGAGTCTCTTACGTTGAGCTGTTGTGGAATAATTGTAGGAAATCGCATGGCATAGGCTTGATCACCTTCAGCCAGCAAGTAATGAGGTGATAACTCATGGAGTTGCTGGTCTCAAGTTGTACATGGTGGCACCTTTTCTTGCGTGAGTAGTGCCTTCCTTATTTATCCACATGAAATTCTTGGGTTATTTTCGTTATTTGGTGCATAGCATTAGAATTTACAAACATGTGCAGATCTTTGAAGTCATGGATATCGAAGCATCCTCCTCGTGTAGCACGGAGACCTGACAAGCCCCTTAAAGGTTTGACATCCTTTCTTTTTTAACCAAACGTTCATAAAAAGATAGGTTTGTGGGCAGAGATTTGACTTGATATGCTTTGTATAGCACTCTGGGTGTATAATGCAAGGACTAGTGTTGGAGGGAACGGGACAGCAACAGCAACAGCAACAGCAATAGCAACAACAACTGCAACTGCAACAACGGAAAGCAACAATAAAAAGCCTGAAGTCGAGCGTCCTCAGGAAACAGTACCAGGAAGTAGTCTCAGAAGCTTCAAGTTCAACACGTCAGCAATCCTCCAGGCGATGGAATCTGGTTTTTCAGCTTGACTAGGCAGTCATATGTGGGTGGTACTCTGGGAGCTATAAATGCGGTTGGATTGGTGGATTGGTGGATTTGGTGTATAGCAAAACCGTTGCATATGTTCATACGCTTGTACCTTGTTACTGGTTTCGTATTTGGTTTATGCCTCTCGTTTCTTTTAGACAGAACAGGTTGTTGTACATGATGATGGTTACTTGATTAGTGGTGAATCCTTTTGAATTTTGATCATGGCTTTAGACTGCGACCACCTAAACGTTTTGTTTTGATCATCTTCTGAATTGTGACAACTGTTTCATCGAAACATGTCCGCTAAATCGAGACTCGAGAGAGTAAGTCCGCCTTTTCACTGGATCCGGTTAAATGTATATACCGATGAAACAAAAAATATAACCTGTTTTGACATTGTAACTTAACTTACTTTAGTTTCAGGGTGGGTGAAGAAATGGTGACCTAAATTTGGCAAGGGTGGCCTAAAAAATATATATGAATGCTATACGAAACATCTTAGAAACATAATCGGACATGTGGCAATTTATGTTTTACACTTTTACTTGTTGTGAGTTTAGGTTTGGGGGTTCATCTACACAAGCGTCACCATTCTGACTTTGTCAGCTTCAGTTTTCTTCTAATCTCTATTTAAGTTTATTCATCAAAATGTATCCCAAAAATCAAAGCATGTTAAAACGGCCCAACCACATTGAGAAACTTTTATCTATAAATAGAAATAGAAATTAAATCGTTGGTAAATATCCCTTCCTCTTTCTTCTCTTGCTAACGGTAATTTTAACGCCGTTAATTATTTTCTCACTGATCGATTATCCCGCTTCAATAAGTATGTCCCGTGTGGCAGACGACAATATGTCTTTGCCGTTCTTCTCGCCAGAGCTTAGCCATGTCTCCAGCAGCTCAGGCGCTTCTTCTCCAACTTTCGCTCAGCTCTTGAAAAACGTCGGCGACACGACGAATATGGAGACGCCGGTTCCTGGACGCGACGAGCATCACGTCGATATGGATCACGCCTCGCCGGACCGATCCGTACCGTTCGTTCTCTCGTTCAACGATCTCACTTACAGCGTGAAGGTTCGCCGGAAGTTCACATGGAGGCGCGTCCCTTCAGATCCCATAACCGGAGCTTCATCGGAAGGGATGACGAAGACGCTCCTCAACGGAGTCTCCGGAGAGGCTAGAGACGGAGAGATACTGGCGGTTCTCGGGGCAAGTGGCTCAGGGAAATCGACACTGATCGATGCACTAGCCAACCGAATCGCCAAAGGAAGCTTGAAAGGAAACGTAACTCTAAACGGCGAAGTTCTCAATTCCAAAATGCAGAAAGCGATCTCAGCTTACGTGATGCAGGACGATCTTCTCTTCCCGATGCTCACAGTCGAAGAGACTCTAATGTTCGCCGCGGAGTTTCGTCTCCCCAGGAGCCTCTCCAAATCGAAGAAGAAACTCCGCGTCCAAGCCTTAATCGAAAAATTAGGAATCCGAAACGCCGCGAAAACGATAATCGGAGACGAAGGCCACCGTGGAATTTCCGGGGGAGAGCGGCGGAGAGTTTCGATCGGAATCGATATCATCCACGACCCGATTCTACTTTTCCTCGACGAACCAACCTCGGGCCTCGACTCCACGAGCGCACTCAGTGTCATCAAAGTCCTCAAACGAATCGCACAGAGCGGAAGCATGGTGATCATGACTCTTCACCAACCGAGTTACCGTCTCCTCCGATTACTCGATCGTCTCCTCTTCTTATCCCGAGGCCAAACCGTCTTCAGCGGATCACCGGAGATGCTACCACACTTCTTCACCGAGTTTGGCCACCCGATTCCCGAACACGAGAACCGCACCGAGTTCGCCTTGGATTTGATCCGAGAGCTCGAAGGATCCGCCGGTGGAACGAGAAGTTTAGTTGAATTCAACAAAGGGTTTAGACAGAGGAAAGCAGAGCCGATAACGCCTCAGACTGGTCTCTCTCTAAAAGAAGCCATCAGCGCAAGCATCTCCAAAGGAAAGCTCGTCTCCGGAGCAACGACGACGACTGCTACTAACACTCCTGTTTCCACCATTCCAACATTCGCAAACCCGTTTTGGGTCGAACTTTTGGTTCTATCCAAACGGTCCATGACTAATTACCGGAGACAGCCAGAGCTGTTCGGGATACGACTCGGAGCTGTGCTAGTCACCGGATTCATCTTAGCCACCATGTTTTGGCAGCTGGATAGCTCTCCTAAAGGAGTCCAAGAACGTCTCGGTTTCTTCGCCTTCGCAATGTCCACGACGTTCTACACTTGCGCAGACGCTCTACCAGTTTTCCTCCAAGAACGCTTCATTTTCATGAGAGAAACCGCTTACAACGCATACAGAAGATCCTCCTATGTACTCTCTCACTCTCTCGTGGCCTTGCCTTCTTTAGTCATCCTTTCGCTTGCCTTCGCAGCGAGCACGTTTTGGGGAGTGGGGTTAGATGGAGGTCCTATGGGGTTTCTCTTCTACTTCTTAGTGATCTTAGCAGCTTTCTGGGCGGGGAGCTCGTTCGTGACTTTCTTATCAGGCGTTGTCCCACATGTGATGCTCGGTTACACCATTGTGGTAGCCATCTTGGCCTATTTCTTGCTTTTCAGTGGCTTCTTCATCAACCGAGATCGGATCCCTTCGTACTGGATATGGTTCCATTACATTTCTTTAGTCAAGTACCCTTACGAGGCTGTTCTCATCAACGAGTTCAGCGACCCGACGAAGTGTTTCGTCAAAGGAGTTCAGATATTCGACAACACACCTCTCGTGGCAGTGCCTCACGGGATGAAAGTTAGGCTTCTGGCGACGATGAGCAAGTCACTTGGGATGAGGATCACTAGCTCCACGTGCTTGACCACAGGATACGACATTTTGCAGCAGCAAGGCGTTACGGATCTCAGCAAATGGAATTGCTTGTGGGTCACGGTCGCTTGGGGTTTCTTCTTTCGGATCTTGTTCTACTTTACTCTGCTTTTGGGCAGCAAGAACAAGAGGAGGTAACAGAAGTCGGTTTGATATTATGGAGAACTGATTTGAAACTTTGGTTATTCTGTAATTTGTTTTTAATTATTTGTTGTATATCTCTATTTATTTTGTTGATTAAACTGTTAAATTGGAGGTCAACTACTAGATATTACTTGAATTATATACTGGAATTTCCGGAACCTGAGACTCTGACGATGATCTTCAAACATTGCACAATAAAAATGAGGTAGTTGGCGTAAAGAGTAAAAACTGAATAACACATGACAGACTTGGAGAACCATTTATCTTGTGGGTCGGAAAATGTGTAGAGAATAGTTGGCATGTTTGGTATGATAAACACAGACATTAGATCCACAATGTTGTAATTAGTTCAAATGCCCATTTTACACATTTCGTACAATATGACCTTGTACGCTGAATGACTTACCAACCATTTCTCATCACTCTTATAACATCACCTCTAATAAACTTCAGTCTCTTGCCTCAAAAAGGCTAACTCAGATAATGCTTGTACTTTCTGTAAGTAAAATAGCCTATGGCTAAATTAATCCCAATTTAATTGGATTTGATTCGAATTATTGGAAATCTGGTCAAAAGGTAATGAACACGAGGGTTATAAAATCACTAAAATAACATACTAGGCAGATTGTATGAAATAGTGAAGTATAAAGTACTTGAAGGTTATTATTAAAAAGTTTTTGAAATCAAACTAACAATAAGAAGAATTAAAAAAAAGTAAAAAGAATGAAATAAGACAAAGGGGATTCTTCCTTGTCTACTTCGTCTCCTCCGACGCGCCCCTCCACCATTTTCTCTCCTTGTAAGCTTCCACACAGACGACTTTTCCATAGTTGCCCACACACGCTGGTTAGTTCCAATTCTTCATTTCTCATCCTTCAGTTTCTTCGTGGATTTTTGTTTTTTTTGCCCGTGGTGTTGGGTTGCTTCGTCCAACAATTTTTGTGGCCAAATTAACACCGATAGGAATTGGATCTGTTTTGCATGATGCGCAGTGTAAAATTTCGTTATGTAATCATCATTTTAAGTTTCTCTTAAATCGTGGATTATTCCTTGAGAGATTTTTGGTCATTGGAGCTCATCGAGCTTGTTGCAAAGCTCACATCTCTATCTCCCTTCTCGCAAGTGATTTTTTACAAGTCACAGCTACAGTAGAGTTATATGTGAGAGGAGGACGATTCCTATCATTTTCGTTGAAAACTGCTGTTGCTTTAAATTAGCTAGATTGCGACACTTAGTTTGTAGGTCTATGGCAGTTTCTTTTCATCTTTTAGGTGTAGACTCATTTCAGAATTAATCCTCAATACCTCCCTTGTGAATCCTATGTCCTCCTGATCCCAATTTTCTTGCTCTAGGGTTTCAAATTCAGCATTCTTTTGAATTCTATTTTTTGTTTGAATTCCTCTTTATTACTTATCATGCTTTGTATTTGGTTTATCCCTTCTTGTTATTGTCAATGGTTGGATGTTTGTTCTCACTCACAGTTTTTCTTTTTATTTTTCTTGCAGGTGTTCATTTGATCTTCTTGGGCTTTGCTTAATTCCTGACAAACTCGCTGGTAGGTTCTCAGTCTTTTCAAAGTACGGGATGAGTAAAGTTAACAGTGAGGAATCTTCTAGTGGCCGTAAACTGTTGAAGGAGGTTGAGACGATTAGCGAAGCTCTCTACGTGAACAAGAATCCTAGGGGGTCAGTCGCTGGTCCTAGCACCACTCCAACAAAACCGTTGGGTCGTACCCACTTGGCTGAGCCGCAGAAGGAGAAAAAATCGTTTTGGAACTGGCCTCTCAGAGCCCTTTCACACGTCCGAAACCGCCGGTTCAATTGCTGTTTCTCTGCCCAAGTCCATTCCGTTGAAGGTCTGCCTCCTATATTCCAGGATCTTTATCTCACTGTGCACTGGAAACGCCGTGATGAATCTTTAACCACTCGTCCTGCGAAAGTTTTGAACGGAAGAGCTGATTTCAAGGACAAGCTGACACATACATGCTCGGTTTACGGAAGCCGAAGTGGGCAGCATCACTCAGCTAAGTATGAAGCTAAGCATTTCTTGCTGTACGTCTCTCTGGTTGGATCTCCTGAGGTTGATCTGGGAAAACACCGAATGGATCTCACTAAACTGCTTCCTCTCACTCTTGAGGAGTTGCAAGATGAGAAGAGCTCCGGTAAGTGGTCAACAACGTTTCAGTTGACTGGTAAAGCTAGCGGTGCTACTCTGAGCATAAGTTTTGGGTACACTGTTGTTGGGGATACTCGTAATCCTGCTACTTCAGGTAGCATTCAGAATGCTCGCAATGCTTCGAATGCAAAACAGACGAGTAATAGCACAGGGTTGACAAGAACTGCTAGTGCAAAGTCTATTGTAGGGAATGGAAAGTCTGTGTCTCGGCGTTTCGATCACAGTAATGCTAACAGAGGGTCTCATTCTTTGTCCCAGAATGTGGAGGAAATCAAAGATCTCCATGAAATTTTGCCTGTTGCACAATCGGACCTGGTCAGTTCTGTAAACATTCTGTATAAAAAACTTGATGAGGAGAAGGTGGATCCAGCAGCTGAGTCTCTTTCCGAATTTGACGTTGTCACTAAACACATTGAACCCGTTGAGTCAATTTCTCGTGAAAACGAAGGTGCAAATGCACATCAAAGTGGAGAGTCTTTGGTGAATGGGAATAGAATTGATGTTCCTGCTGAGGAAATAAAGAGGACAGACGAAGTTCCTCCTGCTGCAAGTGGGGAAGTTGGTACAGAACATTTTCCAGAAGAGTCTTTGGTAAACGGGAATGAAACTGATGTTCCTTTTGGGGATTTAAAGAAAGGTAGTGAAGTTTCTATTGCTGGTGGTGAGGAACTGGAACTTGGTACAGAAATTTTGCCTGCAGAAGAGGGGAACAAAGTTTCTCCAAAAGACGAGGAAACTCTTGTTCCTCGGTATGACGTAGAGGTAATGAACGGTGAGAAAGATTTGAAAGAAACAATATTGAGAGATCTTGAATCAGCTTTGAAAAGTGTAGAAATGTTGGACGCAACAGCGTCAGATGACGAGGACGATCAAGAAAACCATGGAAACGCAGAAACATTTTTAATAACACCAACTAAGGAAGCAGCATCGAGTTCTATTGATGTGGATGAATCTGTGGCAAGTGAGTTCTTAGACATGCTAGGTATTGCACACAGCCCTTTTGGTCAAAGTTTTGAGAGTGAACCTGAGTCCCCAAGGGAGCGTCTGTTGAGAGAATTTGAGATGGAAACTCTAGCTGCCGGTTCTTTGTTTGATTTTAGTGTTGAAGCTGATGATCCCCAAATGGAATGTGATGAAAACTTTACGAATGAGTATGAATCAGATTTTGAAGAAGGGTTCGATCTGGCATCCCTTGTTCACGATATAGAAGAAGAGTACCAGTTGGAAGCTCAAGCAAGAGTCAGCGTACCCAGGGCCACAATGTTGGAAGGCTTGGAAACGGAATCTCTAATGCGTGAGTGGGGTATGAATGAAAACACATTTCAGAACTCTCCGCCTCACAATAGCCCTAATGCTTTCCATCCAGATGTATTTCCAACAAAGGAGCCGTTTGATTTGCCTCCCCTTGGAGATGGCCTGGGTCCAGTTGTACAGACAAAGAATGGAGGGTTCCTGCGGTCAATGAATCCCTCGCTGTTCAGGAACTCTAAAGCAGGAGGCAGCTTGATCATGCAAGTGTCGACTCCAGTTGTGGTGCCTGCTGAGATGGGCTCTGGTATCATGGAGATACTTCAGAAACTAGCCACTGCTGGAATTGAGAAGCTCTCGATGCAGGCAAATAAAGTAATGCCTCTGGACGATATAACAGGGAAAACCATGGAAGAGGTGTTGTGGGAAACTTCACCTGCGATTGACGGCGGAGACAGGTTTGCATCAATCTTATTATCACTTGTATTGACTTGTGCTTAACAACAGCTTTTCTGATGATGTATTTGTTTATCTCCTCGACGCAGGGATCATATATCAGAGCATCAATGTGGTGATGCAGCTGGTTTTGTAAGACCATCACCTGCAGCTAGACCGGAAAGGTTTGGTTCAAGCTCTGCCTCCGGGAGCAAGAACTTTGACTCGGAGTATGTATCACTTGAAGACCTTGCTCCATTGGCCATGGATCAGATTGAAGCACTTTCTTTGGAAGGATTGAGAATACAATCAGGAATGTCAGATGAAGATGCACCTGCAGACATCACTGCACAGTCTATTGGAGAGATCTCAGCCTTCCAGGGGAAAAGCGGGTGCGTTGGTCTAGAAGGAGCTGCCGGATTACAACTTCTAGACATAAAAGATGACGGGGATGATGATGACGGATTAATGGGTCTCTCCTTGACTCTTGATGAGTGGATGAAGTTGGATTCAGGTGACATTGGCGATGAAGAAGAAATAAATGAGCGAACTTCGAAAATTCTGGCTGCTCACCATGCAAACCCACTGAACTTTGTGCGTAAGGGGGAGAAAAGAAAGGGTAAAAAAGGAAGGAAATGTGGTTTATTGGGGAATAACTTCACGGTAGCATTAATGGTGCAACTACGAGACCCGTTAAGGAACTATGAGCCAGTTGGAGCTCCGATGCTTTCTCTTATCCAAGTTGAGAGATTGTTTGTTCCTCCAAAGCCTACAATCTATAGAACAGTTTCAGAGCTGAGGAAAACAGATGAAGAGGAGGAGGAAACCGAGGCAGTGAAAGAAGAGCAAGCAATAGAGGGAGAAGGAATTCCTCAGTACAAGATCTCGGAGGTGCATCTTACGGGTATGAAGAGCGAGAGCGATAAGAAGCCGACGCAGCAGCAGCAGGTGCAAGTGCAGTCTGGTTCGAGGTGGTGTATGGCTAACGGGATGGGGAAAGGGAATAGCAAGCTTCCTCTTATGAAACCGAAGTTGGGTTCTACAAAGCCTGGGGACAAGTTGTGGAGTGTCTCTGGTTCTGGGTCTAAATGGAAAGAGCTTGGCAAAATGGGAAAGTTGAACACACACGTGCGAAATCCGAATGTGATCATGCCGAAATGAAACTGAACAAGGAAAGAAGAACCTGTCTGTGTCTGACGCGGGATTTTGATGCCAAGTTAAAGTTTATGATGTTATTTGGTGTGGTGGATTGTGTAGATTCACTTCAATGCTGCATCTCTTTTATGTGTGTGTGTGTGTGCAGTTTTAGCTTATGCTGTTATGCAGATCAAACAAATCGCTGTTTGTGGTATACTACTATACTGTAGTCAAGAGATCATCAATGAAACAAATAAAGAACAAACAAGATCCTTTGAACTTGCTCTTTTAAGTCTGAAATAATATTATAAGATACTACATATTTGTTTGTTATAATATTTCAAAGAAATGGCGGTGTTTTATTTTTGTGTTTTGCTTGCGTAAAACAATTGATTGGACTAGGTCCATGGACCACCACCATTGTTTGAAACAAATTGAGTTCGTCTTTGGTCTCTCAACCAACACAAGTAACATTCACCAAATTTGAATAAGGATGATAACAAAGGGCATTGGTATGGTTTAGAGGACGAGTGTGCTGAACCATAAAATTAGGACGGCCAATAGTTTCAAAAATATTATTAATCAATATCTCACAAAAACTAACATATTATCATAGTGAAAGATGGCACAAGTGCCTACAAATAGTGTGAATACCGAAGATATTACGAAATTTTGCTTGGAAAATGCATAATATTTGACAGATTTTTTCTTCTTTTTTTCCTTTTTTTTTGACAGGTTTATTCTTTTCAAAACTATCAGGTTAAGTAAAAACTTCGGGTTCAAAATCAGTCACATAGAAACAACAAAACATAATTAGAGAAAGATTACATGGAGCTTTCAAATATATTAAGTGTTCAATGAGCTTTTCGGTAAAAAGAAAATCTGAAACATCCATCACGCGCATAAATTTGTCTTGTCTCCTATTCTGCTATGATGCTGTCTTTTACAAGATCTAAACCATATATATTATAAATAGAGAAAGATGGCACAATGTGCCTACAAATATTGTGTTAGGGAAATAACTGGGAAATAAATAAATTAGAGAAATAAGCGATATAGCCAAGAGATTAATAACTAGAATTCCCTAAAGTAGTGTGGTCCTTCTCCTCGCTGCATACTTACAAAACTCCAAGACAAATGTGCCTCAGGCAAAGCTAGGGAGCCACCGATATTCGTTTGAGCTAATAGGATCTTGAATCCTCTTACCCTTAAAGAACCGAAGTGTTGGCGCAAAATCAAAATCTCCCAAGATAAAATGCACTATATACCTATAAAATGTCCCGAGATAAAACGTCATAGATAATCTTATCTATACTATTATTTGCGAAGTGATTTTGAGAAACATACTCAATTTGAAAAATCTAATTTGCCATTAATGAAATCACTTAACTAATTTTATGTAATAATCATTTTCTTATAAAAAACTAAATGATAAACATTATAATTTTTATTAAAAAAAACTAAACGATAATTACTAATTTTCTTAATAATAATCATTTCCTTATTAAAAAAACATAAAGGATGAACATTATTATACAGTTTTATCGATCCCTTGATTCAGTTTTTTTTGTTTTTTTCATAATTTGTATACTACTGTCATAAAAGATAGCAATATTTCTGTGGAGAAAGATATATGAAGTATCAACCTTAGATGCAAGGGAGATGGTGCGTTATAAATAAAAAAATGATTATTGGTGAATTCAAGTAAAGTCGTAAAATGCAAGCGGATAATTAGAATGTAATTAAATTGCAATCGTATCGTCGTCCTTAAGTTAGCCGAAAATATATCCATCTTCACCTCAAGATTCATTAGAATGATAAAAAAAAAAAAAAAAAAGTGAGAGGTTTTTGTATAATATGCACTTGGAAATGGAATCTAGGTTTGTTTGGCTAAGCAATCTTCTTTTGCATTATACAGATAAAATACCGACTCTCGTATGCATTCTAGGAGGAAATAAGAATGCATATTATCAGGAAAAAAAAAATGAAAAGCTTTTTAAGCATTACTCTTCCTCTACCACGTGGCGTGACCAGTAGTAGTCCATGCAAAATCAATTTCTTCTAAGCTTTTGTCTAGTAGGTCTGGACAAATCCATTCCCTGATTCCAGTTTGAGAAAGGCCTAGTGAGTCTGAGTCATCCCGGCTTTTACGTGCAAACACAACATTGTGACCTCTCGATTTCATAGACTTCATAAGATAGACGAGCTCTACGTCTTCTGAGATATTTGAGAGCACAACCAAATTTGCTGATCGGCCAAGTTTCCAAGTCCAGTTAGGAACGTCTTCTAACATCCTCTGAAGACGCTCAGAGTCATCACCTGGAATTGTCAAAAATTAAAACCCAGAGCTGTAGTCTGTAGAAAACAGTTTAAAAAAAAAACTTAATAATAATAAAACCCTGACCTTCATCGAAGAAAAACCCTGCATGCCAATATTGTTTCATCATGTCTTCCGACATGGATTTAAAGATGTCACCATAAGCCGTGACCGATAAGTTTCCACAATAACCCTCTTTTCGTAGAGATAATTCGATATTACGATAAACCAATGCAGGGTCCTCAAAATTAACGGTGGGCCAATCATTCACGTTCCAGGACACGTGAATGTCAGAGTAAGAGTCTGCACAACAACGTAGATATGCATAAACAATTACTATCAAACGGGGGAAAAAAGAGAGAAATCAAATCCATTACAAATCGACGATTTGGTCCGCTAGTCTACCGTTTGACAGATCGAGCAATAACGAGACAGAAAGATATCTTACCGGCGAATTCGCCCTTGGATATTGTTTCCATTGAGATATCTGTCGAGAGACTTTTGAAACAAAAAGTATATTAGGTTTTCGTTAGATCTGTGGCTGCCAAGATCTATCTGTTGAAAGGGTGGCTTTTTGTAGCTTGCGTACGAGATACTACTCTTTACTGAGTTGGGCTTTTATTTCAGTTTGGGGATTCTATGTATTAGTTGTTCATTACAATCCTAATCAACAAGGTAAACTATTAGAGTATAGACTAAGCATGTTTGAATCAATACCACATTTCTGTCCATGATGAACTTTATCTCAAATGAACATCCTAAATGCCTATCATGTGACGATCTTGGTCCATTTAACTACTTGAGTTTTGCTTCATCATTTGGAAACCACCGCCCTCACTAAATCCTTCATCACTTCTTTTAACTATTTGTTCTATAATTCTGATATTTGTGACGATGATCTTCAAACATTAAAAAGGTTTTTTTTTTTGCACAGTAAACATGAGGGAATTCGAGGTGGAAATTGCATAATTTTCTTGCTGCCCTGTTTCTCAAATCCTGAGTAGTTGGCGTAAAGAGTACAAACTGAATAACACATCACAGTTTTGGACAACCTTTTATCTTGTGGGTAAGAAAATGTGTCGAAAAATATTTGGCATGTTTGGTTGGATAAACACAGAGACATATTCCCAATCATATATTCTGGACCCCTCTCTTCTGGTTTTCAACACTTGATCACCTCGTTAATAAACATCTAAAATCAGGTGTAATTCCATGTCATGAATTTTTCACATGCCTACATTGGAGAAGCAACAACATCAATGACAATGATTCCCTTAAACTCTACAAGGGACCTTTTTCTTAAAGGATGCTGAGATGTACCTCTTAAGTAAAATAGCACACCCCTTTTTGTCTATATCAACAGAGAATCATTGGCGGTTCCAAAACTTCAAGCAAGCTTGGCATAGCTTATAAAGTTATATTGATGACTTCATGTTACAAAAATCCATTATCCCGGTTCTTCGCAGAGAGATTCTTTCATAAAAACTGCACTTTTCCTGCCGGAAAAGTTGTACGGGCCAAAAGTATGAAACCCTATAACTTAACAAGAGGCAAGTCTCTCTTATAACACCCGAGTCGTTCCTCGTTTCATATCTTTTAAGACCAGCCACGTTTTACCTAAGCCGACTGAGGATTACTGAGTTTGGAGAAGCCTGAAACAATCCAACATGTATTTACACCATCTTACTTCCAAGCTTATCTTGGACAGTTCTACACTGCAGTGGACAAGACCGAAATCTGAAGCACAGCAGGAAAGGCAACGAAACCTAGATTTGTATATACAGAGCAAGCATTGAACCAATATAGCAGAGTGCCTCCTCGCATCAATTATTGGAATGTCCAAAGTAATCATCCACTAACTAGTCTCGGCTGTGGACAAATCACAGAACTCCCGTTTGATACCAGATTTCACTCACTTATACGATATCACAACCACTAAAACCCATCACCACCGCGCTCATCCTGTTGCCAAACTGTGTTTGAAGTTTTCTCCTCTTCCATATTCTTAGTTCTTCCAGATGCATTATCAGTTGCGCTCTCTATTTTTCCATCAATTTTCATTAAACTCCCTTCTTCTTCTTCTTCTATGTCCATATCAGAGTCCTCCTGTCCAAATCCCACAGCCTCAGGGTCATTCTCTACATTAGTAGGTGCACAACCATCATTGTTAAAAGGTGGCCTAAAAGAGCTGGTACCATCATCATGTCTATAACCAAATTGTCTTCTCTCAGCATTAACGTCAACACCAAATCGTTCAGAATGGTTAGGTCCTTCAAAGAAATTACCACTGTAGTCAACCCTTTCTCTAGTATCCAAGTCGTTCAGGTTTCTATGTTCAACACGATCATATGGTTTCCTAAAAGAGAAGCCATCTCTTCCATAACCTCGGCCTCTTGTATAACCTCGGCCCCTAACATAACCCCGAGCCCTTACATAACCTCGGCCCCTTCCGCCATTTGATGGTCTATGCATATAAGGTGGAGAACTGTTTCTTCTCACAACCATATCCTTTGAGTAACTAGATTGGTCAGGCGAGCTTATCCTCCCCGTTCTGTAACCGGAGGGTGATCTCCGATGAGAAAAGTCTGCGTTCCCACTGAAATCTTCCTGTGATCTGTTCCTGAAAGACGATGAAGGACCGTCTGATCGTTCTCTTGATCTTCTAACTGGAGATCGTGAACGGAAACCAGAAAAATCTCGTTTGGGGTTGTCTGAATATTTTGTGCGTCCTCGACCAAAACCATTCCGACCTTGATACGAACGTGGAGGACTCATGAACATTGGTTCTGTGTTGTTGCACTGCGATCCCCTTGTGAATTTTTCACCATCTCTAAATCCCTGAAATGCAGAGCCGTCCTCTTTATTTGTTGGTCCTCTATGATTATAGGAATAGTTAGGCGTTCTTCTCTGAAAGGAGTGGGAATAAGGGGTTCCTTCATCATTTGCTGGCCGTCTCCCTCTATGAAAATTACTCGTAAAAGCACCTCCCCGACGAGTATTTCCATGATTATCGAACTCAAAATCTGCATTTACAGGATGAGAGTCATAATGAATTTTAGAAACAGTGAGCCATAAAGAAAACTTAGATATATGTATTTACCTTTTGTGTCACGGTCATGCAGATTGTTTTCTGTTTTATCTGAAAATCTCCTTCTGTCAGACATGAAATTTAACCTTGGGCCTCTCGTAACTTTGCCATGGTACCTCTCACGCGAGAACTTGCAGGATTCATCACTACTAAAAGAAACAACAATGGTAAATTTCAAAGGAAATTCATAATGATCTTAAAAGAGAATTGAGGCAAAGGAAAAGGCTCAGAAATATCACCTCTCTCTCGAATAATATTTCCGTGGTGGTTCAAGCGGAAAATCAGAAAATCTATCTCTTTCCATTCGAAATGGCACAAAGCTGTCTGAAGCATCTAGTGTCTTAACAGGAGACTTGTCAGAAGCCTGAGCAGTAGGATCATTCTCAATAGTAGACATATCTGCTTTGTAAGAAACCGGACTGGTGTTGTCAGGGTTTTCAACATTCCCGCCTGACAATGTAGACACACCTGACATTCCTTCACTTGCATGAATGATTTGATGAGCTAACTTCTTACCATCCTGTGCTATCCGGCCTTCATTTTCACCTGATCCATCAAATATTCCACTTTGAAGTTCTGGACTAAACCTCTTAATCTGAATTTCAGTGCTTGCCATTTCGGCTAATTTCAAATCAACAGTATGTTTCTTAAATTTATCAGTAGATGATGAGGCAGAGCAGTCTTTAATATGTTTATTACCTGTATTACCAAGAACCACATGGTTAGAATTCTGAAAGTCACCATGAAACGGAACAGCAATACCCCTTTGTTCAATTTCGGAACCACCACACTCAGCATGTCTATTACCTTCTGCAAAAACGGCAGCTGCTCTTTGGACCTTCACGTCATCATACATATATCTTTTTCCAACTTCACTTATAGAAAGTTCACCACGAGAACTATGAGGGAGTTCTTTCGATATATTAGTCTTGCAATCATCTAAAATTTTCTCTTCAGTCAAGGAAACATTCACACCTGATGCATTGAGGTTATGATCTCCATGATGATTCATGTGAACAACACCATGTTTCGGCGCTTCCCATGGCTTTTCATTAGCTGCACTGCAACTCTGGCCTAGATTTTCTTTTAGTGTAGTGCCAGGATAACTCTGAACGCCTGGATTTCTTGCCATTCCATTCAACGACATTGGCGCATTGCTGATCTCATTTGATTGCATTATTTGTGCATGAGGATGGTTCAACGCTCCATCTCTCCTATTGAAAACTTGAGATTCAGTAAAGCTATTTGGCTCAGCCTTTATCAACCTAGGATCCACTGGCTTCAAACTGCCAGATGAGGGACTAATTTCTTGGTTGAATCTGCCAAAGCCCTCGTGTTTTACCCTGTTAATAGATAGCCCCATTGGACAAACTTGAGCACTCTCTTCAATAACTTCTGACTTCACAGTCCTAAGGTTTAACGAGTTCACATTCCCAGCGATCATTTTTGGTCCGGAAAAACTTGTGTAAGCAGCTTTTGCCTCCGATAGTGAAGAAGATTTCTGCATAGGAGGATATGAACTGAGGCCTAGACTAAGCGAGCATGTAGGATTAACTTGCTGATTAAACCGCGTCACAGTAGTAGATTTAACTCCTTCACTTTCCTTCTGTTTTTCAGAAACAGACTTTGCAATAGCAGTCGTATCACGACAACTTGAGGACCCTATTCTGTTACTGTCTAAAAATGCACCAGTAGTCTTAACTCTAGTCTTGCGATCTAGAGCATCTTCCCAAGCATCCATGGTAGTATTTAAATCCCAATTTGATCTGTTCACACCACTGTGATAGCCAGCTTTGCTACAAACTTCCTTGCTCAACGACAAATTCAGTGCTGTAGGCTTTTCATTCACCCCATATGGAGAACTGTTTATAGTTTTACAACCTAAACCCATGGAAATAGCACCTACTCCGGCAGATGATTCTCTTTGACAATCTCCTCTGAGATTTCCCTTGCCAACAATGTCATGGGCCTTACGAAGAGCTTGTTCTACTTTCAACCTAGTTTCATCGGAAAGCTTTCCCTGAGGAAAATGGAGTGAACTGGGAGGAATCTCAAAGCCTGCCAAAGGACTGGACTGAATCGGAATATTTGGCTCCTCAACTTTCACTCTAATAGGGTCAAAAACTTTGTTCCCAGTGCTCTCTGCTTTATCAACAGACCCACCAATCATTTTCTGATTCTCACCAGCATGAGATGAATCCAAAGCACTCCTACCAACACTAGTACCACCTTGCTCATTAGCTTGTGGACTCTTTCCCAAACGTTTCGGGACTGTTTCCTCCATTGCCGGAAGATGCGGCTGCACAAAGTACTTCCTCTTCTTGATTGGAATAGCAGCGTTTTTGAAATCGCTGCACCGCCATGTAGGCAGGCTGATCCGAGGCTGTAAGATACCAACAAGAAAAACATCAGTATATATGAGTATTTCTAAGAAGAATTAAATGCATTTAAGTTTGGGATAAACACCTCTTGGTTTCCAGACATAGTCGTAGCTCAACTTTTGTACCTTTTTCAGGCTAACTCCACCTAACACCTAGTACATATCAATATCATTAGGTCCATCATAATTAAGAACCTTTAAAGGCAAAAGAATTCAAATAGATTTCAGATCGAAATAGTATAAGTACCTAAACGCTAATTCACGCAACTAACAGTGAATCCCTATGAAATATCAATAAACAGGATGAGAAAATAATGAAGTCAACTCTGAGAAAATCTGATTAACTATTCAAAAAGTTTTTGAATCCATTGATAAAAAGAGATCTACCCTATAATCTTCCAATGAAACAGGATGAAGAAGATGCGATACGTGAAATCACAGAATCAAAGAATTGGAAGTTAAGCAATCTACCGACAAAAAAAAAGGAAGAAGAGCAGTTTATAGAGAAACAGGATTGAGGAAGAGAAGAGACGCACAAGTAGGATTGCAGATTTAAGGAGGAAAGAGAATAATCTAGGGAGAGAAAAAAGGAAGAAGAATCTACCAGAAAAAGGAAGAGTGATGGCGAGGTCTGAGTAGCAGTTTCCAGGAAAGTACAGCTAAAGTCTAAAGAAATGGAAACAATTAAAGACGCCAAAGAGCGAGCGAGAGAGAGTCTAGAGATGATGCAAAACTTGACAAGGGCCACACAAACCCTGCAAACCTTGCCTTTTATATTACTTTGACCAGCTATTAAATTTTGGTTTATTGAATATTCGGGTATATCAAAATCCGATATTTTACAAATAACTCCTAAATTTTTTAAAAAATTATTCATTTTAAGATTTATACTATAGTTGTTTGCTATATTCTTCTCCGAATATATGTTTGTGTTCAACATGATGTATGACGTAAATGTACGAGGCTTAAACTTCCCCATGCCATTGCCGGTATTTCCCAATTGGCGGTTGTAAAGACTTTAATTAAGCTTTGACGGCTAAATAAGTGTGGCGGTTGGCTCAAAATCCATATTAACAGCCGCTAATTAGGGTGGTTTTATGATTTCGTTTGATATATGGGTCTCAATAATGGGCCTTGTCTCGTAATGGACCCATCTTTTTAATTTTGACTGATATTTTTACCTACATTTAAGGAGAGCAACTAAAGTTGACCAGTCAAATATCTTGTGCATTTACTGCTGTGGAATAATAAAAAAAATATTCAAGAATTTACCAAAAGCAAAAGAGGGCCAGATATTTTAACAAAAAAAATAAGTTACAGAGAGAGGAATGAATGAGAGAGAAAGGAGACGTAACAGAAATAAAAGGGAAAACGAAAGTTGCAGAATTTTAGTGTGGAATTGTAAGTTTGTAACAGCAAACTACTGGAAAAAAGCTTTCGTCTGTATCTATCTCTCCACAAGACTCGGTCCCACCGACTCACTCTCAAGACGAAAAAAAAAAAAAAAATTAATCATATTTTCCTAAATTCTTATATCAAAACTGTTAATGGGGTTTTTAGATGAATGAAGTTTTGGATTTGCGGAAATACCAAAGAGTGAACTGAAAAAAAAAAACAGAGAAGATGGCTTGCTTGAAACTGGGTTCCAAATCTGAAGTCTTTCGTCTAACTGGTCACACATGGTCAGTCTTCTCCTTCTTCTTCTTCATCAATGGTTTGAAAATCTCTCATTTCTCTGTTTCTGTAATCTGATCAGGCTTTGCTCGACCGGACTTAAACCAGACGTGATGATCCAAGTTGGAGATCAAAGCTTCCATCTGCACAAGGTTACATTACATACACAACTAATAACGACTCATCTTTCTCTTATGAAATTTTTTTCTCATTTTTTCACCTGCCATGTGTTTGTTTTCATCATCATCATCAGTTTCCATTGCTGTCAAGAAGTGGATACCTAGAAACTCTATTCAGCAAAGCCTCAGAGACAACCTGCGTGGCTCAGCTCCACGACATCCCCGGTGGATCCGAAACGTTCTTGCTCGTGGCCAAATTCTGTTACGGCGTGAGAATCGAGGTCACACCAGAAAACGTCGTGAGCCTCAGATGTGCAGCAGAGTATCTCCAAATGAGTGAGAACTACGGAGACTCAAACCTCATCTACCTCACAGAGAATTTCCTCAACGACCACGTTTTCACAAACTGGGACGATTCCATCAAAGCCTTGGAGAGATCATGCGAGCAGAAAGTCTTACCTCTCGCTGAAGATCTTCAAATCGTCTCTAGGTGCATCGCTTCCTTAGCCATCAAGGCTTGTTACGCAGAGGACACAAGTTTATTCAACTGGCCAATCTCAGCGCCAGAAGCAACCACCACGACAACAACATTCTGGAACGGAATACAGACAAAGGCCACAAGCGAAAACTGGTGGTTCAACGATGTCTCAATATTCCTCGACCTCTCGATGTACAAAAGGTTCATTCAAACCGTTGAGTCCAGAGGCGTGAAAGCTGATACGATCGCAGCATCTGTCACGCATTACGCGAAACGGAATCTTCCTTTACTCGGCTCTTCAAGGCAATCTGCTTCTTCTTCTTCAGCAGAGGAAGGTACTAACTACGGCGACGACATGTACTACTCTCACGAAGATCAGAGAAGTCTCCTCGAAGATATCGTGGAGCTTCTCCCGAGCGAGAAATGCGTTATCTCCGCGAAGTTCTTGCTCAGGCTTCTCAGGACATCAATGATTCTTCACGCGAATGCGGACACTCAGGAGAATCTTGAGAGAAGAATCGGTGAGAAGTTAGACGAAGCTGCTCTAGAGGATCTTCTGATACCAAACATGGGATACTCTGCTGAAACACTCTACGACATCGACTCTGTCCAGCGGATTCTTGATCACTTCATGCTGACGTTTGAAGCTTCTTACAGCATCGTTGAGGAGAGGCAACAACTGATGGGAGATTCTCATCCTCTTAGGCCTATCACAAAGGTTGCTAGTCTCATAGATGGCTACTTAGCTGAGGTGGCTTCCGATGAAAACTTGAAACTAACGAAGTTTCAAGCGATTGGTTCTCTTATCCCTGAAGATGCGAGGCCAATGGATGATGGTATCTACCGCGCAATCGATATATACATCAAGGTACACACAACATTTCAAAACTTGCTTCTCAAGTAGTATCTTTTGAATTATACATGTATATGAATTTGGAGCTACACAGGCACATCCGTGGCTGACAGAGTCGGCGAGAGAGCAGCTGTGTCTGCTCATGAACTGTCAGAAACTGTCACTGGAGGCATGCACACACGCAGCACAAAACGAGCGTCTGCCGTTGCGAGTCATAGTACAGGTCTTGTTCTTTGAACAGATGCGGCTTCGGACATCTGTAGCGGGATGGTTATTTGTCTCAGACGAAGACAACAATGACGACGATCCAAGTGGCAAGAATCCGGGACTGGAAGGAAACAAGAACGCAAATCCAAGTATGGTGATGAATGGGATGAGGGAGCGTGTTTACGAGCTTGAGAAAGAATGTATGAGCATGAAGCAAGATCTTGACAAGCTTGTCAAGACTAAAGAAGGACGCAACTTCTTCTCCAAGTTATTCGGATTGAGGTCTAAGACCAAGACTTCACCATGCGGTGGCAAAGGAGGAGACGAAGACGGTCTTATGATTCGTGAAACCAAAAACTGATATAGAGAAGATTAATAACTAATAACGATTATTACTTTGGTCATTAGACACTTTATTTTCCTTTTTGTTCTTGAATTTGATATGTTTGTTGAACTCTTCTAAGTCGTTGATCCAATTCTTGGTGTTTAGGGACACTCTGAAACCGCAGGATCTTGAGAATAATCACTTATATATCTCTGATAAACAAAATTGTAGATCCAAGGATTTCTGAAAAAATCATGTTCATTTTGCAAAGGGATGTGTGTGTATATACTGAAAATTCTGATATTTTTACAAATTACACTGCCGTTTTGGGACAATCTCTTAAACACTGGTGTAGTTTAACCTTCTTTTACACAGCACGTTGTTAGCCGACATAGTGAACAAACGGCACGCATTTAACTCAGCACTGAAACACATAAATTCTGTGACTACACTTGGAGAGAGGCCGTCTTGTTCATCTTCTTCTCCGTCTTTCTCTGTAACAAAATGATGATGAGGAGCGCTAACGCCCACGTCAAAACCCTAGGCCTACCTGTCCGTACGTTTCTCTCATCGATCTTCACCGCTAAACAGAAATCCCCGTCGCTCTCCGTTCCATTGCGATCGTCGTTGGATACTCCCACTCGTTACTTCTCCAGTGTCCTAGCAGCAGCCTCCAATTCTCCGAATCATGGTTTTCGTGGAATCCGAAACCACGGGTCTCTCTTCACTGTGAGGGCTATTGCTTCGTTTCCCGCCGCTTCGGTTCAGCCGCAGCCGCCGCAGCAGCAGCGTCAGACTCAGCAACCAGAGGAGAGTGGTGAAACGGTTCCGTCTTTGGAGGTTGGTGATGGGAATTCTGGCGGCTTAGAGGAAGATGCCAAGCTTTCTCTTCCCGTGCGAGCTTATTTCTTCTCCACTAGGTATGATTTTCCCCCTTTTATTGAATGATCTTCAATGTTTTGAAGGAGATGCTATTTATGTCATTCTGGTGGGAATCAGGATCGGATTTCACATATGATATCATACATTGCTGTAGATGATGAGTGAATTTCATAGTTGAAGTGTTGAAACCTTGTATATGCTGTTCACGTTGGAGATTAAACCTTGCAATTTAGAAATTTGATGAAGTGGTGACTGAAGTATATTGTGGGTGTGATTGTGTGCAGCGTTGATTTGAAAAGCTTAGTGGAGCAAAACAAGCAGAACTTCATCCCTCCCACTTCTCGTATGACTAACTATGTTGTTCTCAAGTTTGGCAATCATTCTGATCCCACTGTAAGTGTAATGTTACTTTAGTCAGTTTATGGAGCTGAGATATCAGAGTTTACATTAAATATTGACTGGAAAATAGTTACCCTCTCATAGTGAAATATTGATTGTTGTATGGATTGGTATCTGAACTTTCAATCAGAATGTTTCAAGGTCTCTCTATCTTATGATTGGGTTATTCATTGAGGGTTGATATTGTTTCAGGGTACTGGTGGTTGGATAAGCGGGAGTGAGTGCATTTACATGGTAGTATTTCAGTATGGATCGATCGTCTTGTTTAACGTACGGGAACATGAGGTTGATGAGTATCTTAAAGTGGTGGAGAGGCATGCTTCTGGCTTGCTTCCTGAGATGAGAAAAGATGGTGAGCTGCACTTCTTTTGCTCTGCTCTGTTCAAAATTTTCTAGAAATGGTGATTAGTTTTCATATATTTGGTTTCTGTAAAACTGCAGAGTATGAAGTAAGAGAGAATCCAACTCTGCACACGTGGATGGAAGGGGGACTGGATTACATCATGTTGCAGTTCTTGAATATTGATGGCATCAGAACCATAGGAAGTGTTCTTGGTCAGAGCATTGCTCTCGACTACTATGGCCGGCAGGTAACCATGTCAGATCCATATACTTATTCTGGGATGTGAAGTAGGAAGTTGGCACCAGTAATACACTTCTAACTGTGCATGATCAATTGTGTTTCTTGGTAGGTTGATGGTATGGTAGCGGAGTTTACTGACATTAACCGTGGGATGGAGAAAACAGGAACGTTTACTATGGATAGGAAGAAGCTGTTCCAGCTGGTAGGGAAGGCTAATTCTAATCTGGCTGATGTAATTCTGAAGCTTGGTCTTTTCGAGAGGTAAAGTAGTCATGAGAATCGATATGCGTACATTGTCTAGTTCTGTTGGTGATATTGACTGACTCATGGTTTTGGGGAAAATTGCAGGTCAGATATAGCTTGGAAGGATGCGAAATATGCTCAGATATGGGAGTACCTGAGAGATGAGTTTGAACTGACACAGAGATTTGCAAGCCTTGATTTTAAGCTCAAGTTTGTTGAGGTATTATCATCTTAAACTCTCTCTTTCTCATGATCTATCTTGTCATTTTGTGGGAAAGAAAAAAGTTGCTGGTGATTGATTCATCTTTTTGCGGATTTTGGCAGCACAACATTCGTTTCCTTCAGGAAATTCTTCAGAACAGGAAGTCAGATTTTCTGGAGTGGCTAATCATTATCCTGATCAGTGCTGAGATCGCCATTTCTCTGTACGATCTGGTCAGGAGATCCTTGTGATCATCATCCCTCTTGCCATTTTTTTAAAGCATATTCTTCATTTTGGTTTTCCAGGAAACACTATTGTTTTCACACTGTAAATCATAATTTTAGGGATGAGTTTTTCGTACTAGGTTTGTTACCAATCTCCATCTGCATTTATGTTCCTTCTTCTTCGCTGTTTCTCTGCAGCCGAATAAAACTTGCTATGCATCTCGAATTTATAAAATCATTTTTTCATAGTTGAATTGAAGGTCTTCTTTTCATTTTCTCTCTTGTATAAAATAACAATAAAATGATGGTTTTGAGGTACAACTAAATAATAATCAACCACCAGGTCTCAGACAAATGTTGTAAAGGTGGGCACACAAATCCTCGAGATGAAACAAGAAGCAGTATAATAATATAAGAAAATTAGAGAGAGACTCCAACGGATGCGTAAACATTATTGGCGGCTTTGAGATTGGGAATGAATTTGCGAGCCCAAACATGTTTGCCATTGATGGTGTATTTGGTCCTGGTGATGCCAGTGGTGACAATCTCCGGAATCTTGGCGGCAGAATGTAACACCATCCTTGCATACAGGGCCTGCTGCTCATTCCCTTCCACTCCAGGCATGTATATCGCTTCTATGATATCCCCAAATCTCCTAATTCAACACCAAACACACAACTACCATTTCATCAAACACTCTCTCTATACGTACCGTGATCAATGTTCTTGCATGCATTCATAAACGAAATTCAGTACCTGGTGAAATAGCCATGCACTTCTGCTTCAGCAATTGGGTAGCCTTTAGAGAACGTGAGGAAGACAGTCCTGTTCTCAGCCATTACCTGCTCCTCATCAGAGAATCCATCAACCGTGCTTGCTCCTGCGGCGGTTTCTTGCTCACCCTTGTGAACAACCTTGCTAATCGCCAAGTTGCTCATCTTCTCCACCGCCTTTTCCCTCTCTTCAGTCTCCTTGTTGTGCATCGCAGCGCGCACGCAGATATCCTCAAAAGCCGGGTAGCAGATACGGGTCAGATTCGTCTTCACCGCAAGGAGAATGTTCTGGCGGTTCTGGTGGATGACCGCGAGGCTAAGGGACTCTCCAGTCATGCGCATAATCAAAGGTATGGTAAAGAATTTGATGTTTTTACCGAACGTTGCAACGAAATTTGGAAAAGTTTCGTAGCACATGCAAGTCAGACACGTCACGACCTCGTCAGCCAGCGCGTTGACGAAGTAGTCCGGTAAAGCGGCGAGATTCACAACGAGGTTGCTCACGGGAGCGTTTTTCTCGAGATAGAGGAGAAAGCTCACGATTTTGCACGACTGGTTAATGTCTCGCTTTAGACTAAAGACAAGACGAGTGAAAAGAGCTCTGTCGGACTTGTGGAATGCATTGAACTCTTCTCGCGTCACCGATACTGGGGACAAAGTTGTTGAGGAATCCATTGATTTTTTTGTCTTTTTCTTCACAATGCGGAAATGTGAGGTTTATTGGGTGATAAGAGAGGAAGAAAAATATATAGAAAGAGTTTTTAGATGGGAATCCAGTGAAATGGTGAATAGATACAGGCTATCATCTTTCATGAACCGAATGTATAATTCTTTCATTTTTCCTTTAGTGTTTAATTGTATCTTGGTTCAGTTTATTTCCTCCTCTGTCTACTCTTCTATACTTGCAAGATTCCTTTCATTTTATATATTTTGCGTCAGTGACGTATTTCACTTATCTATAGAGTTAACATCATCAAAGTGGGCTCTCCAATTAACATCAGTTTCGCAAAACGGGTCCATGACATTACATCTTGGAAAATGTCACGTGCTTATGATACCTCGCCGAAGATTTAAGGTTGAAAAATCTGAAGAAAAGGATGTCTTTGTTTGTTCCATATGAGAAAGGAGACCAAAGAAAAAGATGCAAATTTGTTGAGATTTATTGACCTCAAAGGCTTCAGACTTTCCCTCAGATAACTCCCAACAACCAAGAATAGAAGAGAGATAAAAGAGAACTTGTAGAAACAGAGGAAGAACAGAGTATTTTAACGTTTGATGATGAGAAGTGAGAAGCGAAAGTAAGCAAGAGATTACAGACAAATAGATTACAAATGACCCACTCTAATGCCCTTCACTAGCACTTAAAGCTCACTCTATCAATCTCTAAGCCTAGAAAACATGTAAACAAGATTATGCTCTTTACAAGCTTTCTACTCAACTCTCGATTCTTTCTTATGTCTCTCTGTTCCCTAAAGACAACCTTTTATAGTGGTGAATGCTTTAGGGCTCCCTTGTCCAAACGCCAAACGCAAAGATTGTACCTTCAAACGCCAAAGAGCAATCTGTCTTCTTGCTTGTCGTTATCCAAACGTGTATTTTTCCTTCTCTGAGCAATAGCAGACAAAACAGCAATACACTGATAAAGAGGCTGCTGCTCCTAAACAGATTGCAGAAGCCTTTTACTTTTAAGTGGTCCCAAAAGCAACATGTAACCACGGTTATTTGATTCACATCAGACCATGGTTAGCTTTGACCACACACGAGTTGAAGAGGATAAGGCCAAGCATGCTTGCTCGCCAAGTCATCACAATTCTTACAGATTGCATATTATAATAGAAGAAACTCCACCACAACATTCATATACTAGTCTTATTGGAGAAAACTTGTAAACATGATATAAGTCTTACACTCGGATCATAAATAAAAGCATATTAGTTACAAGGTAAAGGGAGGGCTGGTAAAGGTAAAGGTGGGGGTGGTAAAGGGAGAGGAGATGCCGAGACGTCTTGAAAGGCAATTGTTGAGTCTCTGCTTGGGAGGTAAGCTGCCATTAATGCAGAAGGATCAGCGTCTCGGTTGATGAGTCTGTCAGGGTGTGCTAAGGCAACAGCAAAACCTTTCTCTTCTAAGGCATTGCGAAATTTTGGGAATTTGGGGTGTTGTTCGATGTACTCAGTGTTGTCTGAGAGCATCAAAACATTTGATGGCTCATCCATTGCGTATAACATGGCGATAAACTCCCCTATGAGCATGTTAAGTCTGGTCCTCTTAACCCCTACAATAGTAAGTAGTACATAGATCAATGAGAGCAAGTAAACAAACAAAAATATAACAGAGAGAGAGAAAGAGGGTTTTTTTTATGTGCACCTTTGTACGGATGGACTTCAATTCCGACTTCCCCAAATTGGTTTTGCAATTCACTCGACCAAGTATCCTCAGCCCCGTAAACCCATATGGTAAAGTCCCCATCAATCTCGTAACCCTCTTTTTCAATAGAGGATTCGATTTGGTGCATAACCAAACAAGGATCAAAATTTTCAGGGACTGAGTAATCTGACATGTCCCATAACACATATGTTGGACGAAGCGTGGAACGGGTGGTGGCCTCGGGGAACAATGGTGCATAAGTAGCGTGTGTCTTAAGAAATCTCTTAGACTTCAATAGAGCGTTCCATTGTTTTGATGTTGATCGCCATCGTGCTACAGATTTAATAGGAACCCTATAGAGTATCTGCTCTACCAATTCCTCCGGTAGGCTTATACACTCCATCGATGCTTGTGACTAAATAACTTTGCAAATCAAATAAATATTTTCCACTGTGTATTATAATGAGATATGGAGGAGGCAAAAAAGAAGGAGAGATCTTATGCCGAGAAAATACCTAATTCCCAATTATATATAGATATCGTTTTCCTATTTTGAAATTGAGCACGAAAGGCAATTTAATGTTTTTGCACCAAATAAAAATATAGAAAGAAACTCCACAACATTCATATAAAGTCAGAAAATGTCAGCCAAAACATTCTCTTATTCACAGAGAAATGATGTCGTTGGTAGAAAAACTAAACATCAACAAAAGTCTGATTTCATTTACAAAGAAAATAAATAAAGCTTCTCATAGTTTTATGTTTCACCTATCGATCCCTTCGATCTTGTCTTCCACCTGGGAGTACAAGTCCTTGAGCTTCTCGATGTTGTCAGCGGAAGTTTCCCAGTAGCCGCGACCATTGGCCTCCAAGAAAGTCTGAATCATTTTCCTGAAGGAGTTGGGATTAGTGTTCATGAGACGGTTAAGCATCTCCTCGTCTTGGATGAAAGTTGTGTTGGCCTCCTCGTACACCCAGTTGTCTACTTGACCCGACGTTGCGCTCCACCCGACCGTGTTCGTCAGTCTCTTCTCTATCTCACGCACTCCTTCGTATCCACTTGACATCATCCCTTCGTACCACTTTGGATTCAGCAGCTTCGTTCTTGCGTCCAGCCTCACTGTCTCGGATAGTGTCCTCACCTGCAAGATTCAGAGAGTTAGCTTGAGCAACAAGTTGTTCTCATTAACCGATTAAACCGAACCGAGACGGAAAAACCCGATCCAATATATGAATTAGACCTTATTTAACAGTGTTACTACTTAAACCTAAACCGAACTGGACCGGCAAATAAACCAGACTCAAACCTAAACCAACAACGTACCAAATACCCGGTTTTACGTAGATTACTACTTTTCAAATCTCGAACCGGATATAAACCCGGATTGAACAGCCTAGTTCTTGTGTCCAAACCCTAGAGGTAATGCTTGGAGAAAACAGAGGAGAGAGGCTTCACTAACCTGTGCGTTTGCGGTGGTTGTATCAGCAATGTAAGCGCTAGGTTTCTTCTTGTCTTTCCTCAGACTCTGGACGAGGTTTGTCGGGTCAGAGTCGAAGTAGTGGCTGACGTCAGTCAAGGAGATCTCGGAAGAGTCCAGGTTCTGGAAGGTGACTTCAGCAGTGCTAAGAGCCATCTCGAAGACCTGCTTCTTCTCAGCCATTCCTGCTCCAGGAGCATCGCTATCAAACGCAAACGACTTCCTGCTCAGGTACATGTCCTGAAGCTGTTTCTCGTCGTTCCACGAAGAGTTCTCAACAGCGAGGTTGATGTTCGATGAGTATGACCCTGAGGCGTTTGAGAACACTCTTGTCGCTGCTTCTCTGATATCAACTCCAAGCGTGGCTGCTTGTTCCATCGCATGTTTCCTCACAAAGTTTTGCTCTAATGGCTCATCTAGCTCAGCCACCATCTTGATTGCACGATCAAGAAGGTTCATCTGTAAGACAAAATCAAGAAATAACCACCATGACTATGAGAGACCAAACCAACAAGATTGTTATAAAGAAAGGATCATCTATTTACCTGATTGATGAACAGGTCACGGAAGACGCCTGAGCAGTTAACAACAACATCGATCCTCGGCCTTCCGAGTTCTTCTAAGCTAACAGGCTCAACACGGTTCACTCTTCCAAAAGTATCAGCTATCGGTCTCACACCAATCATCCAAAGAACCTGCCCAAGAGACTCTCCATACGTCTTGATGTTGTCAGTTCCCCAAAGAACAAGCGCGATCGTCTCGGGGTACTTCCCTTCGTTCTCGATCTTCTGCCTCTCTACCAACCTGTCCACAACGATCTTGGCACTTGCCATTGCAGCTGTTGTGGGGATAGCCTGCGGATCCAAGGCGTGGATGTTTTTACCGGTTGGTAACACCTTTGGGTTTCTAATGGGATCACCTCCAGGGCCTGGCTCCACGTACTTCCCTTCCAAAGCTTGCATTAGACTCCCGAGCTCGTTGTCCATGACCACCAACTTCAAGCACTCTCCAAGGAAAGCAAACACTGTTCTCAGCTTGTCTCTGTTCGCCCTGTAGAACTTCGTGTTTGACAGATACTCCACCCATGGCTCATTGATTCCAAACCCGAGAATGGATGTGAGCTTATCAGAGACATCAACAACCTGTCCTTTGCTGTTCGTCGTCTTCTCCACGAATGCGGAAACCGCGCCACGAGAGGCGTCTGTTATCTGCTTGAGAAGCTCTACATCGCTCAAGATCCCCTTGTCACTTCCTCTGTAAACATCTTCAATCTCCCTTCCAACAGTCTCAGCTAATATAGAAGGAAGAGATGAGATGTCATCCTCCGGACGGTCTAGTGCAGCAATGTTCACAAGTGTTGCCACAGCTTCCATGGCGGACGGAGGCTCTCCAATGACGTGAAGCCCGCACGGCAAAAGCCTTGACTCAATCTCCATGATCTTGGAGTAAACTTTCCCAACCACAGAATCTCTGTCTTTAGTTGATAGATCAGCTCCTTCATCTGGAAGATCAACATCTTTATCGAGATTGCATTGCTTAGCAGTGCTGATGATGGAGCTGACAATCTGTGGTCCTCTCCCGGTGTCCTTCAGAGACTGGTAAGACGATATCAGCTCGCTCAGCTGCTTCAGTCCTTTGTATAGACCAGCATTCTCAGCTGGAGGAGTCAAGTAGCTGATTGTATTGGCGTAACTCCTCCGCTTTGCGATGGTAGCTTCAGAGGGATTGTTAGCTGCGTAGTAGTAAACATTGGGAATGTTCCCGATGAGACTGTCAGGGAAACAAGCGTCACTCATTCCCACTTGCTTCCCGGGCATGAACTCGAGGGAGCCATGTGTTCCGAAATGAAGCACAGCATCAGCTTTGAAGATCTTCTCAACGTAAGTGTAGTAAGCAGCGAAACCGTGATGAGGACTCGCTGATTTGGAGAAGAGCAGCCTCATGGGATCACCTTCGTACCCGAAAGTTGGCTGCACGCCGATGAAAACGTTACCGTACTCTTTGCCGTAGACAAGAAGATTCTCTCCGTCTGAGTTTAGGTTCCCTGGAGGTTTCCCCCAGTTCTCTTCCAAGGCGTTGGCGTAAGGAGTGAGGTTTTGGTACTCTCGGACTCCCATTTTGTAAGCAACGTTGAGGTTAGGGCTGCTGAATTGAGCCTCCTTGTCATGAATGATCTCTTCGATAAGAGTCTCTGCATTCTCAGGAAGGCCCTCCACATTGTAGCCATCTCTCTTGAGGTCTTTTAAGACTGAAAAGATGGAGGCAAAGACGTTGAGGTAAGCTGCCGTTCCCACATTTCCTTTGTCAGGTGGGAAACTGAAAACGGTGATTGCCAGCTTCTTCTCTGTCTGCAATGACACAGATTCGTTTCCTTTAGAACATACATTGCATGCTTGAGAAAGTCATCAAGAAATGAGTGACAATAATACCTTAGTTTTTCTTTTGAGCTCTCCCCATCTAATAGCTCTGATACAGAGTTGCTCCACTCTCTTGTGGAGAGCATGTGACTTCCCTATACAGCAATTTGGTAAACAAACGTCTTCATCAAGAAAGCATTCCCACACTTGTCATGAAAAATTGAGAAATATATGTGAACTAACCTGTTCTAGGGTCACGGCCAGCGAAAACGATTGGCTCCATGCCTCCATCAAGCTCAGGGAGAGCAACCTGAAGAGCCACCTGGATAGGATGCAGACCAAGCGTGCTGTTCAGCCATTCCTCCGTCGTCTGAAACACAAGTGGTACTGCCACAATGTAAGGAACGTCAAGCTTCTTCAAAGCCTCGATAGCCCTCGGATGATCCTGCCTTGCAGGTCCACCAACTAGAGCAAAGCCGGTCAAGGAGACAGCAGAGTTAATGATGGGCAGCTTCGAAACCGGATCAACGAAATACTTCTCTACCGGACCAGAGAAATCCAACCCTCCTGCGAAGATAGGAACGACTTTAGCGCCTCTGGCTTCAAGCTCCATGATCACAGCCACGTAGTGACTATCATCACCAGTCACAATGTGACTCCTCTGCAGGACCAAACCGATAACAGTCGCATCTTTCTTCTTGAGAGCCTCATTGGTGTCCCTTCTAGTGTCATACCAGTTCCAGTACTCCTTCACATCGTCATACATGGTTGGAGCAAGAGGATGCCAAATCCCGGTATCCAAGAACAGAACCGGATCCGAATACTCGATCTTGACACCTTTCAACGCCGGGATGTAAGATCCAGAAATCATCTTGACGAAGTTCTGGAGATTGTCAGGAGACCCTCCAAGCCAGAACTGTAAACTCAAGATGTAGAGACGAGCGTCTTGAGCCTTGTCACTCGGTAAGTACTTCAGAACCTTAGGCAGTGTCCTAACGAGCTTCAACATACTGTCGGCGAAACCAGCGGATCCTGCTTTCTTCCTCTTGAAGAGTTGGAAAAACGGAGACTTGGACTGGCCCAGTTGAGACATGCTGAAAGATCCGAGCTTGTTGAGTCTCATTACTTCAGGCATTGAAGGGAAGACGAGTACCGCGTCCATCCTGTCTCTCTCCTTCTCGACGGCGTCCTTGACTTTAAGCGCCAGTTCCTCGACGAAGATGAGAGACCCGATGAAGATGTTGGCGTCTTTGAGGTCTTCGCAGAAGCTCTTGTAAGTGTTCTTGTCTCGAAGCTCTTCCACCAAGTATCCAACGACCTCGTAGGAAGCGAATCTCGATGTCTTGTTGAGGGTTTGCACGGCCTCCGAGAGAGACGACTGGTACTGAGCCTCGAGGACGACGTAGACGATTTTCACCGTCGGGACGTTGTCTCTCTTGATCGGAACTATACGGCGGACCTCCGGGTTGGTCTGAGTGAAGAGGCCGTTGCCGGAAACAGCGGATTTGACCTTGAATAAGGATTTGGCGGGCTTGGATGATCCGGATTTCTTCCGGAGGAATGAATGTTTGGTACTGTTAGAGAGTGAGGAGAGATGCTCTGCTTTAGAAGTGGATAGAGTGAAGGGAGAATACACAAGTGAAGCCATTTTCTCGGCTTAGTGTTGATCGGAGAGGAGAGGATAGAGAAAGAGAATGTAAAGAGAAGAGATTTGATCTCTCTTCTTCTTTTCGTTTTTTTTTGTGGTGCTCCGAGTGGGAGTTTTATGTTTCTCTCATCGATTAACGCTTCGGAAGAAGGAACTAAAAAAGCACCGTTGGTTTTGAAGGTAAGTGGTGGGAGGGAAAGACACGTGGTCAAATGGGTACGCAAGACAATATGAGGTTCTCAAGATGTGAGGTTGAGTTTTGTCGGATATATATCCGCTCGGGACAATGTGATGGACTTTGCTGGCTTCTGATTGGCGCATTGAGATTTCTATTGATATTCATGGCTTGGGCGCGTGGATATTGGGTGCTTTTTTAAGAAATGAAAATTTATGTATTTTTTTTCTGTAGTTGTCTCCAAGATCGTATTTCGGTTTCAACTTTCAACCATGTAAAAGATTCCTTGGACATATCTCGTCGAGAATTTAGATGGTCAGCACTGACTGACCGGCCGGTTCGCATTGCAATCAGCCGGTATTCTGTAACATGTCCCCACGTATAAAACTCTGTTGTTGTTTGGACCAAACAAATGAAAAAAAAATTGTACACATTTTGTAACCACAAACTGGATCTGGATGATATCACATGGTTGGTTCATGATTAAGGTGAACATTTTCAGTTGATCTAGTGGATTTTAAATTGAATTTTCAAATGATACACTCATACAAGTGAAAGTTTTCAAATGGTTTTGTGGATTTAATTTGATACAAAAACTCTAAAGATATCAAATGATACAAGTGAAAGTTTACAAGTGATTCAAAGTGAATTTTAATTTGAAAACAAAACTCTAATGATTTTGAATCCGAAACAAAAACTCGAATGGTGTTGATATTTTTCACATACGAAGGGAATCATCAGACTCCATAATTCGTAGATATGCAGTCTTCTTCAACGTGATACTCGGAAATATCGTGACACTTGTGTAAGTGGTAAATTATGCATCCGAAGTTTTAGATTTGAGGCGTTTAAATGTCATAGTTTTTTCGTTCATTCGTATCGTATGTAGACGTCTTATGAGATTGTTTGGCACACGTGTTCAAGATGTAAAACTTATTTTTGACTTGATTTTGTTACAAAATCTCCTTCTGATTATTCATTAGTCAAGAGTGAAGACATGATAAAAGTAACTGATTAAATTTGTAAATATAAATATTGGAAACGGATCCAGAAGTGTTAAACAGGTGAATAAAACAGTTTAGACTAAATATAACAATGAAATCAAACGAAACGGAACAGATCGGACGGGTCTCGGTTGAACTTGAACCACAACCAGGAGCGAGGTGGTCCAATCGTTTTGCGGTCCGGTCCGAGCCGTCCGCAAGAATATCAGAAAACAGAAAAAAACAAACAAAAAAACAAAACATATTTAATTGGTTTAAAAAAATCGCAGCAAATCAGCTCTTTGTCTCTCTGGACTGATCCAATCCCTAATTGGCCAGGAAAGAGCTGAGATTGAAGGGTGGACATACTCTTGGAGATTCGACAAAGGTCCGTGCCCTTCTCAAATGCCTCTTATTCACCGGAAAAAGCCGACGGAGAAACCGTCGACACCTCCATCCGAGGCGGTGGGTGATGAGGATTCCCAACAGAAACCTCACGAATCTCCGAAACACCATAAGAAACCGAACGGAAGAATCGACAAAGGGAGATGGTCGTGTGTCGATTCCTGTTGTTGGTTCATCGGGTGCGTGTGCGTCACATGGTGGTTCCTCCTCTTCCTCTACAACGCCATGCCTGCGAGCTTCCCTCAGTACGTAACGGAAGCGATCACGGGTCCTCTACCCGACCCGCCCGGCGTGAAGCTGAAGAAGGAAGGTCTTAAGGCGAAGCATCCCGTTGTCTTCATTCCTGGGATTGTCACCGGAGGGCTTGAGCTTTGGGAAGGCAAACAATGCGCAGATGGTTTATTTAGAAAGCGTTTGTGGGGAGGAACTTTCGGCGAAGTCTACAAAAGGTGAGAGCTTTCTTCCTCCTTTTAGTTTTATATTTGGATTTTTGGGTTTGGATCTGATGAGATCACACACTTGTGCTTGTCGAACAAACATCACTCATAGTTAAATTCCCATCCTTTTCTTATTCTTTAGATGCTTTAATATGCAAAAAGGCTATTTTTTTTAGGATACCGTCTATTTCTGTAGTGTAACGTGTTTGTGTAAGGGAAGCAAAGTATGCCAGAAATCGAAAATGCAGCTACCTTGAAGTTTCAATCATGTCATTGTCAAATCTGTTGCTATACATGCCTTAGATTCTGTTCGTAACATGTTGCTCCCCCTTCATTATCATTTGATGTACGGTTACTTGTATATACTAAACTAGTGTCTCTTTTTCTTTTGCTACTGTTTGGAATAGATGTGAAGTTCTACCTACATTTGTAAAAGATGTGTATTGTGTGTATTGGATGGTTGCTTTATTCTTCAACTATTTGCATGTGCAACTAAAAGTTACTTTCTTTTGTCTTTTGGTTCATTGTGCTTTTCTCAAATTCTTTCTGAGAACTGAAAGCGAGATTTGCAAAATTTTCCACACTAGTGTTATTGTTGATAGTAACAGTGTTATTGTTGATAGTATTTTAAGTAATTGATTATCTCTTTGATTCAGGCCTCTGTGTTGGGTGGAACACATGTCACTTGACAACGAAACCGGAATGGATCCTGCAGGTATTAGAGTTAGAGCTGTATCAGGACTCGTGGCTGCTGATTACTTTGCTCCTGGCTACTTTGTCTGGGCAGTGCTGATTGCTAACCTTGCACATATTGGATATGAAGAGAAAAACATGTACATGGCTGCATATGATTGGAGGCTTTCGTTTCAGAACACAGAGGTTCTTTCTCTCATATAAATTAAACCAATTATCCTGTTCCGTTTCACGTTTCTTTTCTTCATCTCTTACCAGCTTAATTACGTTTTATGTTGAACTATTAGGTGCGTGACCAGACGCTTAGCCGTATGAAAAGCTCTATAGAGTTGATGGTTTCGACTCAAGGTGGAAAAAAGGCAGTTATAGTTCCGCACTCCATGGGGGTCTTGTATTTTCTACATTTTATGAAATGGGTTGAGGCACCAGCTCCTATGGGTGGCGGGGGTGGGCCCGATTGGTGCGCAAAGTATATCAAGGCGGTGATGAACATTGGTGCACCATTTCTTGGTGTTCCCAAAGCTGTTGCAGGGCTTTTCTCTGCTGAAGCAAAAGATGTTGCAGTTGCCAGGTATCGAATGGTCTTTTACTTCTGCTTACAGGATTGTTGATTTGGTTGCACTTTTAGTCGCTTGGTTTGTTAATATAACTCTATGGTCTTCTTCGAAAATTGCAGAGCGATTGCGCCAGGATTCTTAGACACTGATATATTTAGACTTCAGACGTTGCAGCATTTAATGAGAATGACACGCACATGGGACTCAACAATGTCTATGTTACCTAAAGGAGGTGACACAATATGGGGTGGTCTTGATTGGTCGCCGGAGAAAAGCCACACCTGTTGTGGGAAAAAGCAAAAGAACAACAAGACTCCCGGCGAAGCTGGTGATAATTCAACTTCCAAGACAAGGCCTGTCAACTACGGACGGATCATATCCTTTGGGAAAGATGTGGCAGAGGCTCCACCATCTGAGATTAAAAATATTGATTTTCGAGTAAGAACATATATAAATGATATTAAACCTTGTAGTTAGTTTTTGATGATTTGGATGATTAACAATCTGATACATTTTACTTGGTGAAGGGAGCGGTCAAAGGTCAGAGTGTCCCAAATAACACGTGCCGAGACGTGTATACAGAGTACCATGATATGGGAATTGGAGGGATCAAGGCTATTGCAGAGTATAAGGTCTACACTGCTGATGCAGTTATAGATTTACTAAATTTTGTTGCTCCCAAGATGATGGCTCGTGGTGCTAATCATTTCTCCTATGGAATTGCTGATGATTTGGATGACCCCAAGTACCAACATCACAGACACTGGTCAAACCCGTTGGAAACAAAGTAAGTCATCTGTTTTGGTACCAACTCTTTGCTTCCTCCTGATGCATTACAAGTCTTTTTTATTTTCAGTCTTGTTGATTATGGTTATCAGCTCACAGCTAACAAAGCTGTTTGAGTCTTTCTAGAATACTCTTTTGAGTAACTTATCTCTATGGATGACTCAGTTACTCATCCCCACAAGGCTATGAATGTTTTGTTGTGCTGTTTCAGGTTACCAAATGCACCAGAAATGGAAATATTTTCGCTGTACGGAGTTGGGATACCAACAGAACGGTCATACATCTACAAGCTAAATCAGTCTCCTGACAGCTGCATCCCATTTCATATAATGACTTCTGCTCACGAAGAAGACGAAGACAGTTGTCTGAAAGCAGGAGTTTACAATGTCGACGGGGACGAGACAGTTCCGGTGCTGAGCGCAGGGTACATGTGCGCTAAAGCGTGGCGTGGCAAGACAAGATTTAATCCGTCAGGAATCAAAACGTATATCAGAGAATACAACCATTCTCCGCCGGCAAACCTGCTCGAAGGGCGGGGGACTCAGAGTGGTGCCCATGTTGATATCATGGGCAACTTTGCATTGATAGAAGATATCATGAGAATTGCCACTGGAGGTAACGGGTCTGATATAGGACAAGACCAAGTCCATTCTGGTATCTTTGAATGGTCCGAGCGTATTGACCTGAAGCTGTGAATAGGTTGATCTCTTGTCAACTTTTGTGAATCCATTACTTGGAAAGAGAGATCATCGATCGGCATCATCATGATGCGCAAAGTCAGAAGACGCTGATTATTTGGTGGTGCAATATATTCTCAATACGTTTTTAATATATTCTTATATTGATGTAAATTATACAATCCTCTTTACTGTTTCCTTCGAAAGATAATGCAAAACTTGCTGCGCCATGTTATTTATCTCGAAAGCATCAGTTTATGGGTTTTACAGCAATGAATGATTGAAATAACACAAAGTCAAATTTGAAATGCAAAAAATTCTCTACCAACATGAAGTGAACTATGCAGTCTTTGTGAGCCATGTCTCTAGTGAAACTGGTTATGAGTCGCTCATGACTTTTAGTGAGCCACCATATGATTAACACGGGTCTGTGTGGTGTGGGTTTAGTTTTGGGAATCGATAAGTCGATGGTCAGACGTGGCGTAACCTGCTCCATCTACTCTATGCGAAAGCGCAGTCTTAACCAAAAGCAATCTTCGGAATAAAAACAAGAGCTTCTTCTCCTCTCCAACCAAATAAATCCTTTTGCTCTCTCTCTCTCTCGTTTTTTTCTCTTTTCTTTCTCTTCTCTGTTTCGCGGCGGAGAGAATTGAAATGGAGCTAAGCCTGAGCACTTCCTCCGCTTCTCCAGCGGTTTTGAGGAGACAAGCGTCTCCTCTGCTTCATAAGCAGCAAGTGCTCGGCGTCAGCTTCGCTTCCGCGCTTAAACCAGGTGGAGCTCTCCGATTTCGTTCCCGCCGTCCGCTTCATCGTCCCATCACTTGCACCGCCTCTCCGTCAACCGCCGAACCATCCTCCGGTCAGTTACCGTCTCTTTGTCTACTCATTTCTTTTGTTCAGATAGGGTGAAGTAGTTTCGCTGCTGAAATTGATTTTCGCTTTTGTAGAAGGACGTTTTTTTTTGTTGGCTTATGTTTTTCAGAATGAAACTAACAAAATAAGAAAATGATTGCGAGATTGTGAAAATTAAGGATAAGTTCTTGCTCTGTCCGTAGTCTGATCAATAGAGTTCCAAAATTTTTATTTATATATTTTGAATGCTTCTCTAAACAAAGTCACTCTTGTTATGCCAGTTGAAGTGAAGAAGAAGCAGTTGGATAGGAGGGATAACGTGAGGAACATAGCAATTGTAGCACATGTTGATCATGGCAAAACTACTTTGGTTGATTCTATGCTCAGGCAAGCTAAGGTAACAGATGAAACCTGAGAAAGTTTGTTGATTTTGGAGGAATTCTCGTTTTCTTAAACCATATCTTACTGTTGCAGGTATTCAGAGATAACCAAGTCATGCAAGAGAGGATCATGGACTCAAATGACCTTGAGCGTGAAAGAGGAATCACAATACTGAGCAAAAACACCTCCATCACTTATAAAAATACAAAAGTGAATATAATAGATACTCCTGGCCATTCTGACTTCGGGGGTGAAGTGGAGCGTGTCTTGAACATGGTTGATGGAGTGCTTCTTGTGGTAATGTGACGTTTTGACTTGATGCTCTATAACAAAATTTTAGCTCTGTATTTCTCATTTTCATCCCTTTCACTCCCTTGTTTCTTAGGTTGACTCTGTCGAGGGACCAATGCCGCAGACAAGGTTTGTTTTAAAGAAGGCTCTTGAATTTGGACATGCAGTTGTCGTGGTCGTGAACAAGATTGACAGGCCTTCTGCTCGTCCTGAGTTTGTTGTCAATTCCACTTTTGAACTATTTATTGAACTAAACGCTACAGATGAACAGGTATTGTTTGTCTTTGGTTTTGTCTATCCTTTGTGTAGTATCTCGCTTGACTCTTGTACTTTGAGTGTAATTGTATGACACTAACCTTAATGTTTTTTTTTAGTGTGATTTCCAAGCGATATATGCGAGCGGGATTAAAGGAAAGGCAGGGCTTTCTCCAGATGACCTTGCAGAAGACTTGGGACCCCTGTTCGAGGCTATAATTAGATGTGTGCCTGGGCCAAATATTGAAAAAGATGGTGCACTTCAGATGCTTGTGAGTTATTCTGTTTTTTCTTGCCGTTTCATGTGTTTGTTCCCAGCCAGTGCCAATGAATATTTATCCCTTCCTCTCATAGCCAAAAGTGGATGCATCAAAAACTTGTCTCTCACTAACTAAAAGCAGTCATTTGCTCTAAATCATGCTTCAATTCCAAGAAACTAATGATCTAATGACACTCCCAAATCACGAAACTCAAAATTGATGAATTTATCTTGTCTAACTGTGTTAAATGGATATTCACTTGTATGAAAATTTTGTTTTATAGGCCACAAATATCGAGTATGATGAGCATAAAGGACGCATTGCTATTGGGCGGCTACACGCAGGCGCACTGCGCAAAGGAATGGACGTCAGGGTAACATTTCGATTAATCTTCAGCCTATTACTTTGTTATCGGACATCAATGATGTGGGCTCATACAAAAATATAGAGCAGGTGGCGTCTGCCTAGATAGCCTGTAAAATATAGGCAATTGGAAAGCAAAATGGACAATATATTCTTAGACGAAATTTTTGTTACATTTCCTAGGTCTCTTATTCATTTTAAAGCTTGTGATGAAGTACGTATAAAACTTAACTGGATGGGAGATGGCGCCATAACTTTAAGAACCAGCAATAGTCCAATACGAATTTACTAACTTACTTGCAGAATTGATATGTTTTGATTTTTTATAGTAGACTTATTGGGTATACTCTTACAGGTGTGCACTTCTGAAGATTCCTGCAGATTTGCTAGAGTAAGTGAGCTTTTTGTTTATGAGAAGTTCTACAGAGTACCTGCTGATACAGTGGAAGCTGGAGATATCTGCGCTGTATGTGGCATAGATGACATTCAGGTAAACATATATGCATGGATAATATAGTGCCAAATGCGAGAACACTATTGTAGCACTGGTGGATAATTACTATCACTTGTCATATTCTTTTTCTTGCTAATTGAGTTGCAACGTCTTGGTTTCTTTGCTTTCAGATTGGGGAGACTATCGCTGATAAAGTACATGGGAAGCCTCTACCTACAATCAAAGTAGAAGAGCCAACTGTGAAAATGGCCTTCTCTGTAAACACCTCTCCATTTTCTGGTCGTGAGGTAGGTGTAATGATGGCTGATATGACTGTCTTGATTCTATCTTGCTCATTTTTCCATGAATGCCTGGCTACGAGATATTCAGTGGGAGGTCACTAACTTGGATTAGTGCTACGTTGTTGACCAAAATGAAAAGGATTAGTGCAACATTTAGATTATTTTTCCTTTTCTGTAGGGGAAGTATGTAACGAGCAGGAACTTGCGAGATCGTTTAAACCGTGAACTCGAAAGAAATCTAGCTATGAAAGTGGAAGATGGTGAGACAGCAGACACATTCATTATTAGTGGGCGAGGTACACTACACATTACCATCCTGATAGAAAACATGTAAGTACTCCACTAACCATTATTACTTTCATATTTGAAATTGAAAGCATCTGAACAGTAGTATTATGTTCCAGGCGAAGAGAGGGATATGAATTCATGGTTGGACCCCCGAAAGTTATCAACAAAAGGGTTAACGATAAATTGCTGGAGCCATATGAGGTGAGTTTGTGACTGATGCTTTCAACGAAACCATGATTTCAAATGGATTTGTATATCCTTTACTTGAATGTCTGCTCACTGAAAATTAATTTTGCTTTCAATAAAAGTAAAGAAGCCCTATCTGACTTCAAAATCCACCAATGCAGATAGCAACTGTTGAAGTACCAGAGAATCACATGGGGCCTGTTGTTGAACTTCTTGGCAAAAGGCGTGGACAGATGTTTGATATGCAGGGTGTTGGGTATGCATTGTTTCCCTTTTATTTTTTACTCAAGGTGCTCGGTGTGCATAGTTTCTTCTGCATCTTGATGATGATTGTGAATCCTTGGATGACAGGTCGGAAGGAACAACCTTTCTGCGGTACAAAATCCCAACACGTGGACTTCTTGGACTGAGGAACGCAATTTTAACAGCTTCTCGTGGGACAGCTATCCTCAACACGGTATTTGACAGCTATGGACCTTGGGCCGGTGATATTAGCACCCGTGATCTGGGTTCGCTGGTAAGTAAGGGAGTTGAGATAGTTTGTGTACCATTTTGGTAGTTGTTTGTGTGGTTTGTTTAATAAGAAAGTGGGACTTTTCACAGGTTGCCTTTGAAGATGGAACATCAACATCGTATGCGCTGGCGAGTGCGCAAGAGAGAGGGCAAATGTTTGTAGCCGCAGGAGTGGATGTGTACAAAGGTCAGATAGTTGGGATCCATCAGAGACCTGGCGATTTGGGACTTAATATCTGCAAGAAGAAAGCAGCTACAAACATACGATCCAACAAAGATGTAACAGGTATATTCTTCTCTATAATAATAACCTTTTAACTTGTGCAAGTTTTGAAATTCATCTGCTCATAAATCTCTTGTTTTTTTTTTTCTTTTTTTTTTTTTCTGAATTGCAGTGGTTCTTGACACTCCCTTGACTTACAGTCTGGACGACTGCATCGAATACATTGAAGAGGATGAGCTGGTGGAGGTTACGCCTCAAAGTATTAGGATGTGCAAGAATCCTAAAATGGCAAAGAAAGGCAGGTCATGAATAGAATCCATTTTTGCAGTTGGGTTTGGACGAAATTGAAAAGCTTAAAGGAAATATAGTTTCTAATGTGATCTATAGGCGTGTTTTGATTCTTCATATACACAGTCTTGTTCTTATAACAAATGGTGAGTCCTCGTGTAATCCAATTAATATTTTTGAAAACTCCATGCTCTTGGCGCTACTTCCTTCTTTGATCATCTGTTAGTTAAAGTTTGTACTACAACTTCCATAATTAAAATGGTGAATCGTTAATCATAAAGTCGTTACAAGTTCCAACACTCTATGGAGAAATGGAGATGCACTCAGAACACTCTTGAGAATTTTGTTTTTTCTTTCTGAGGACTCGGAATCATTGATAATATCAGCACGTTGTTCCTAGCATTCCACCAAATGATTAATATTTATGAATCCACCGGATTCCCACTATCATCAATTATCTTAAAAAAATCTCTGCCAACACTAAAATTCGACTGTAACGCCATGAAAAAGAAAGAAATCAGTAACCAAGCAGAGAGGTTGGTTAAAGATATAGTTGAGCGGGCATCATCACCTGTATGTTGTATGATTGTATCGCATTGTCGGAAGGACATAATGTTTTGTCTTAAAACTTTCCACTTACTCTTTTAAGTCTCAACTCTCGAGTCCCTTTTTGACTCTTGATGATCCTTCCTTCTTCTTCAGTCAGTCTCCTCTCGCTCCCGTTTAATCGGAATTGGATTTCCGTCTGTGATTCATTCTTTCTTTTAACCCAAAATCCACAATCTTTGGATTCTCCTAGTGACCTCTTGTTCTCGATTCTGGATTTTGACTTCGCCGGCGGTCAATCAGACCTCCGCGTTGGAGCCACTGAAGCTAATAAATCTGTTGAGAACAGCTCTGCGATCTCATTTCCAGTGATGCTTTTCTAGGTAAGAGCCGAAATTTCGTGATTTTAGGAATTCCCAAAGAACTGTCCGCTACTTTTAAAAAATCAATTTTCCTATCTCGTTCATACGCAAGAACAACTTTTTTTCGATTACGTCATGCTTAATCTTCGATATTCTCTTGTGATGCTTTTAGAGGCTCCTCTTGGCCATCTCAAGTTTTTTTTCTTTTCATGCCAAGAATGTTTTCATTTGTGTGAATTGTAATCCTCTTTCGTTACAAATCTGTCCTGAGTCTTCATCTCTGTGGCACTGTTTGAGTGGTTTCACAGTTTTGGGAGTGTAGTTATTCATTGGTTCTCTGGCTGTGTTTTGTGACAGAGGAATGAGAGAAGATGTTGGCAGATATGATATTGAGGAGATACCATATCCTGGATCTTCGAGAATGGCTTTAAAGCGGAGTCATCAGTGGCTGACAGAACCGTCCGGCTCAGAACTGTTCAGTAATAAGAGACAGCTGGTTGAGATTGATGCACATTCTACCTTACCTGCGTGGGACAATTCACTTGTCTCGAGACAGTTAAATGATTGCTTGTTCGATCCTGCCAATGCACACTCATCAAGTCTCCTTGCAAGATGTGTTTCTCCTATAAACGGTCAACATATTGAAGAGGGAAGAAAATATAGAGAGGAGCAATGCGGTAATGTTTCGTCAATTGGTTGGCCAGTGTTTGATACCCTTCATGGTAGCTCATTTGATCTTGACACCATTAGAAAAGTCAAACTCAATCAAGTGTCTGACTCTACCAACATGCCTGCATCCATGGTTCAGCTTTATGGCGAGGGAATTTCAACATCATTTGAAACTGGTCCTAGCGGTCAAGATAACCAGCTATCCTTTGGACAGCACAGCAGTAATATTGACGAGAGCTTCCGCTTGCCAGGGCCATTCAGTTATGAAGGTGTTGATGGTGTCATACCAATGGGTGGTATTTATGAAAAAGGAGATGGAAGTGTCTTCTCAACATGTCTCCCATTTGAGAAAGGAGTAGAAAACTTTGCACTGATGGGCCAGTCTCTTCAAAAGGCTGATTGTAATGTCTTCTCAATGAGTCCATCCTATAACAAGGAACAAGATAACTTCATGGCTCTTCTCCCTTGTGACAAAGTACCTGAAAACCATTTCATGGCCGAATCAAACTATCACAAAGAAAATGCCAATGTGTTGTCAGGCGGTGAGGTGACATTGATGGTTCCTAGCCAAGGAAGAGCAGACGAAAACAACGATCGTATTAGTTACGAGGATAGAAGCAAGATTATATCTTTTGGAGATTATCAGCAAGAAACCACAATGGGTTCCTCAGTCAGTGTTAGTAACAGTTATGAGAACTTCAGTCATGCCTCAACACCTGCTAGAGATCCTCCTCATATGGAAGCAGAGGAAAACGTGTCTTTTGGATTTAGGAATCCCCTCTACGGTAGCCCTAGAGTTGATACCTCGCTCATGCCCAAAAGTAAAGATTCAAAGACAGCTAAGAAGGGTTCTACAAACACATTTCCTTCAAATGTTAAGGCCTTGCTGTCAACAGGAATGTTTGATGGGGTTACTGTGAAGTACTATTCGTGGTCACGTGAGGTCAGTTTGTTCTTTTACCTGTCCTAAGAAGAAACCTTTCACCTTTACTCTTCTCTGTGCTGAAACATAATTTGGCAGAAAAATCTCAAAGGAATTATAAAAGGGACTGGGTATCTCTGTGGTTGCGCCAACTGTAACCTTAATAAAGTAAGCAACCTGATACTAATGGTTTCAGTAATTTACTGCGAGGTCTTCTGTTCTTTTTTTTTTTTAATTGCAACTGAACTGTGCAACAGGTTCTTAATGCGTATGAATTCGAGCGGCATGCTAATTGCAAGACAAAGCACCCAAACAACCACATATACTTTGAGAATGGGAAGACCATTTATGGCGTTGTTCAAGAGCTGAAGAATACACCTCAGGAGAAGCTGTTAGACGCTATTCAGAATGTAACAGGATCTGATATCAACCATAAAAATTTCAACACCTGGAAAGGTGGTAGTGCAAAACATAGACATTTTAATACAAAAAAAAAGCCAATCTCTATCGGTTATCCAGCTAAAAAAAGTTTGTTCTACTTTTGTCTGTTTTCAGCCTCATATCAAGTTGCCAGCATTGAACTTAAGCGGATCTATGGGAAGGATGCTGTCACTTTGGCATCTTGAGAAGACAAGGTGTCAACTGCCAGGTTTTTTGTCGTAAGTATCCAAACCTCTGCAGACCGCTTCTTTGAGACTTTATGCAATGCGCATTGCTTGATCTTATTCTTGCACACCATATTTGTTGATACTATCAAAAATGTTCTGCAATAACAAAATCGGCAACTCAGACTGATACTTGAGACTGAGTTGCTGCCTTTGGGATCATTAACCGGTCACGATTGGGTAATACTTGGAGAGCCTCTGCACACCCTGTTGCTAGTGGAAGCTGCCCTCCCTTGTCCTTGCTTTTACCCCATAGTACCAAATATATTCCAATGACAATGACCACTGACCCAACAACCCTACAAATATTAGGAAGCCCTTTTCGTGAAAAAATTATTCACTAATTTTACATCTAACGCAATAGTAGACTTAGATCAAGGCTTTTTTACCTTCCTATGTACATTTTTTCCATGAACACAAAGGTGCTCAGAACAGCAACGATAACCATGCTGAGAGGGTTAAATGCGCTGACAAACACTGGACCTCTCTCCTTTGATACCCATCCAATAACATAGTATGCTAACCCTGAGACAAACCCCTGTGTGACCATCAACAAAAACTTCTTCTCTTAAAAAACACACACACACAAAATGGTTCTATTGGAAAATTTAGGAACATATATAACAGTTGTTGTACCCCGTATATTGAAGCTAATAGCCTCATGTCAGGGTGGATTTTCCATACGGACATGTTCTTCCTTTCCCATATCAATCCCATAGCAGCAGCCTCCAGCATCCCCATAAAGCACATCAGAGCTGTTAGCGAGAGCTCAGCTTGATATGAACTCAGAATGTTTGCCTGCAAAAAAACATAAATTCCTCTGTCACCTTTACCTCTCTTTGACTTGATTCAGGAAAACAGAAGCGGTTGTCCTATAATAAGTATTAGGAATATGTTACCTGTAAAATGATATAACATGACCAACTGAAGCAGCTTGCAACAAGCATAGTTGATCCTCTTCCTATATCGTCCTGCTTTGGAGTATTCATAGCATGTGACTGAGAACCACTTGACTTGCTTGTCCAAGGCAAGTCAATGGCATTCCCTTTCACGAATGTCATGAGCATTGCTCCTCCAATAGCCACCATGGTTCCCACCACCTTCGCCTGGCTGTGACGCCTTTTGATATTCACCTTCTCTAGCCTTTTAAGGAAACAGAAATTAAAAACAAAAAAATCAGTGCTGCAGTTATGTATGTATTGACAAATAACATTGGTATAGAGAGAAAGAGAGTTACTTGAAAACGCAGGCCATTATGAATGTCATTGCAGGAAGTGCATTGCACAAAGCCGATGTGAATGTGGCAGTGGTAAGTTTCATCCCTGAGTAGTACAGGTTTTGTTCGACCACAGGCCTGCATATATTTCATTTAAACCGAATTTACACGGAGGAGCCACTGTCTTATCGTTGTGAAACAGATGTGATTGGAACAAAGTCCTTACTCAAACAAACTCAGAATGGATATTTGAAACAGGATTTTAAAAGTCATCTTTGGTCTCGAGTTCCTGCGTTTGAAACATAAGACAACCATTGTTTTAACATCACAGTGTATGTTTTTGTTTTACAGGCCTGCAGAAGAAGAAGAAGAAGAAGGAGAACAAACCTCTCAAGGACGAGGGCAAAAGGAGTAATGAGAGCTGTAGCAACTGCCATTCGGTAAGCAACTAAGACGTGAGGACTCATTCCCTCGTTCAGAGCCAGTTTCGCTACGATAGACATCAATGCATACAAAAACTGTATGAAAACAATGGCCATGAATGGCCTTGCTTTCCTAAGCGTCATTATTTGCAGCTTCTCTGCATAGAAAAAAAGAAAAGAAAAGAAGTTCCCCTTGACTGAAAAAAGAAGTGTTTTGGTTTGTTGTAAAGTATTGAAAAGTTAAATATATGCGTGTATAGTTGTGGTGTTGTTTATGTATATAAAAATGGATTCTGTTTGAAGCCTCATAACGTTTTCATGTGTATCAGACGTAAAAAGAGCATTCAAAAGCATTTGTTGAAGTGCAAGTAATTAATACTTGGTGCCTTAAATAGAGGAACGACCAAGAGCACTAAACTCGTGTGTTTAAGAGCTAAAGACATTCCTCATTCCCTTGATTGGTTGGGCTCTGACTCTCACACACCCACTTTAGTTTTGTCTCTTTAATTAATTTTGGCGGTTTCAGTTATTAACTCATTCCCGTTAGTTATACTATGATTATGACTTTATTCTTTTTTTTTGGTTTTAATTATGACTTTATTCTTCATGTTATTTTATTTATTTTCCTCGTTACATGTTTTCTGAACCGTCTAAAACGATCTATATAAAGTCATATCACTTTACCAACCGCCTCTGATGGATTTTATGGATTAAATAGATACAACTATCTAGATCAGATACTATGTGACAAGGGACCACCTCTAATATATAACGTATAGCCCTCTATAAGTATAAAACACAGTTGTTATGAGATCATCCAACGAGTTACGTCACTAACCAAAACAAAACGAAAAGGCGAGACCACCTACTCAATTTTATGAATTGGACAACGATTATGTTTTTTGCAACATACATCCGTAATGTACCAAACAAACGTATATAACTTAAAATGCAATTACGTAAAATGTTAACGTATCCGATTCATATATACGTGGTACGCCTATCCAACCAAAATCAGTTAAAACCCCAAAAGTTTGTAAAGTATAAGATTATTCATGACTAAATCACATTAATTTTGCATTTTAAAAGAAAACGAACCTGTTTAAATTCACATGTGAAACGAAGGAAATGTCGGAATAGTGAATAATATATCGGGTCTGTTTCGGGAAATGGTCCAGAGAAGGTGTGATTTGAGTAGGTCGGGGCACTTACGGGATTATGGTCCACAATGTTGTTTGAGTAGGTCGACTACGATATGGGAGCTTCAATGTTCTGATGAAATTTTGATTTTTTCCATCTTCTACTAATTACAAAAGGAAAAAGAAAATATTTATGTGAATGAGATGAGAAGATTGTTCAAACAAGAAAAAGAATGAGATGAGGAGAGATAATTATAAAGTTCAATTCAAAGTATGTTTTGAAAGTAAAGCAAATTAATGCACATACAGAAAAGTTAATAATAATAAGAGTTACATGCCAATGATATGAAAAGAGATATAGAAGGTTTTAATACTCTTTTAATACATATAAGGAAAGTAATTAACAAGTGGACATAATTAGCTGCATAGTAGTCAGACAGGAAACGATAGTCACACTTAGCACAGAAAACTATACACGCCAAATCACACCCATGGGTAAATAATTGCAAGTGTAATCATGATTCATTTCAATAAAATAAACAATATAATTATAATCTGATGGAGCATTGGTCATTTTTATTCAATAAGCCGATCTTGTCCAACACATGAACAAAATTGTAGCAGATGCACCTCAATCTCTTCAGTGTGTAAAACAGCAACGATAAAAAAAGGATGAGAAACGGTAAAGGTTTGATGTTTAAAACGCACACAAAGAGCATTTGTTGACATGCTTGCTTACGCAGTTTTTCATGGGCTAATGAAGACCTTAAGCATCCAGCTAAAGGCATCAGAGTCTCGTGCTGTGGATCTCGTCTTCTTAACGTAACGTTCAAACGAATAAACCTCTTCATCGACGCTCTCACTGGACACCGTATCGTCTGCTAGCTCAACTGCCGCCACTTGAGCGACCTGGAAATTCTCTGCAGTCATTTGCAACTTCTGTGCAGACTCATTCTCACCAAGTGTTACCAGACATATCAACAACGACTTGAGCTCTCGCTTTCCTCCTTCTGTCATACGCATACCCTTCAGATGATCAACAAGAGCCATCTCCTCACCCGCGCTGCATTATCACACCCCAATTATATTCATTTACATTTTTGCTCATCACTCAAACTGGTCAGTTTTCATAGGAGATATATGTGCATATATACCTGCCAGCACGGATTTTCCCGCTCTTTCTCTGGCGTCTCAAATCTCTTGCCTTGCTAGTAGCCGTGCTTGAGCTGACTGAAGCAGCAGAACCTCTCCTTGTCCTAGAACAATAGCAAAGAAAACAATAACTTTTATGAAAACGCTTTCCCTATTCAATCCAAAAAACAACACATTATCTAGACTTTGATTCCCCAAGAGATAAAGGCTGAGAGAGTAAGTCAAATGCAAAAACATAACATACCCCAATGTATAGGCGCTCATTCCACTCAAGTTGCTACTTGCTTCTGAAGCTGTGTCGTCGTCAAGATCAATTACTGACCGTTCCTCTGACTTCAGCTTTGCTGCAAGCAGCAATCGTCTCTGCCGAACAGCTAAATAGCGGGTCAAATATTTTGCTACTTTTTCTATTGATTCTTTGAATTCACTTACTAAACCACTAGCACACTCCAGAGCAGAACTTTTCACTGAGATTACACCTTCTTCTGTATGCATAAACGCAACCCTTAAAGCCTCTTCCCATTCCCTCGCATTGATAAGCAAACTAATTCCACCGCTTATATCTCCGCAGTATTCAAGAGCTATTTTTGCTGCTTCCCCCGGTTTACCAAGAGCATTAACCTCTTCGCAGAGTTCGTATGCCAATTTCAAGATCTCATCTTTATCTAATTTCATCAGCGCCCCCACTCTGAGTACCCCACTCCAATCAACACATTCACGATACGCCTTTGAAGCCTTTTCCAGCCTAGAGCAACATAGGTACGTAGTAGCGGCATCCTCAAAACGTTTTTCATCTGTGAGATGATCTGCCCAAGCCTCAAGAACCGCTTGTTTCTTTTCAGGATCAGTAATTAGCTGGAGGCCGAGAGGGAAGAGTTGAGGGTTCTTCTTCATTAAGTTCATGCTATCAGGAAAGTAGCCATCCCCTGCTGATACAATGCTCTTAAGAGCACTATCAAAACGTTGCAACTTAATGTCAATGTTGAAATGCATCAGAGCTTCAGGCATTCTTTCCAGCTCCTGAAGATAAGGTAGAAATTCTTTTGGATCCCGTTGGGAATTGAGTGCCACAATAGCTGCAAGGTTCAGATCATAAAGACCTAAGGCAGCTTCAAAGACCGCTTCAGCATCCAATAGCCACAGAAGGTGTTTCAAGGCTTCTTCTGCAGATGGACAAGACTTTTTCCTTGAGTCATCAGATGAGTTTAGCAACTCCATTTCACGAACAGATTTTATCCTCAAAAGAGATTCCTCAATAGCTGGCGGATCACTTCGCGCAAGAGTGGTCAAAATACAGAGTTCCCTTGACGGACTCTCTGGTATCTGTTCTTCAAGTGCTTTCCTAATTGCCTGTAGAACTGACGATACCTTGTTGTCGCAAAGATCTTTCACTTGTAAAACGCTGTCTCCCTTTTTGGAAAAGGAAAAATTCTTGTAAAGTGTCTCTGTAACATCTTCATTCTTGATGGCACAAACAAATTCTGTAACGTGGTTCAGATTGTTTACTTGTTTAACAAATTCCACAGCTGATTGTAGAAATGCGTGCCACCCATACAGATCCACGATGACATTAAAGTTGATTCTGTGACGCCTTACCAAGTTTAATGCATCTTTGAACCGTTGCTGAGCTAACGCATTCGTAATGGAAGAGAGGACCAGCTTTCTGGGGTAAATGCACTCAAGATTCCCCCGCATAGTTTGTAATATCACAGCAGCTTCATCTCCATTGAGGACTCCTACTACTTTGGCACCTCTTTCCCAAATATTTACAAAGCTCATATTTTCCTCGTCTCGCCTTCTACCATCAATAACAAAGTGCACATTTCCAAATGCCACTTCTCCCTGCAGTACATCCTTGGTATCGACAATAAAGAGAAAATCCTGTCTGGTCATAATAATCAGATGGGTAACCACTTCATTGTTCAACTCTGAATAAAATGAGAAACTGCTGCAGTTATTGCATAGGCTCTTCCCGTTGATGTACAGTTTACCCATATCATCAAGCCCACATATCAAGGGCTTGAGCACCCCACCAGCATCAACCTGCGCTACCTTCACACAAGGACAAGTCGACGGAAAACATACACTGTCGTTACTGTTACGAGCTTCCACAATGCCTGACTTTGATGCATAGCCAAGCACTTTACCACCCTCAAACTCTACAAAGGCTGAATCACGCTTGCTAGGATTGCAGGCAAGAGCCATGACGGGTGATTCGAGAAGTGTCTGGAAAGTAACGCTTGCCTCAAAGCCAGAGCATGTCACTTGATCAGGAACATGATCCTCATAACAGACAACTTCAACTTCTTGTAAATAAGAACCATGAAGCTCTGTCTCAGAAGAACCTGAAGAGAGACAATTGTTCTGGCTAGAACCATAAGAAGAGACGCACAGAAGTGAATGGACATCCAACCACAGAAGATGTACCAAAGAGCCCAGTGCTGTTTTACAGCCTGAAATTTCCACATTGAAGTCTCTTCCTTCGAGATCTTCCCAGGTATTAGGCGCAGGCAACTCAACAATAGACAGGTTTCCATCTGACAAGAACACAGCCAGACAATTCTTAGAATTCCTTGAGTAGTATGATATATCTCTGACAGCGGAAGAAAAACTAAGGCTGAACAAATACATAGGAGGTGGCATCAAGGACAAAGATAGCGGTGTCACGAGGATCTTGGAGTTATCTACGACAAAGGCTGTTGAGTCCTCCATGACCGCCGTTACCCACATAAAATTGCAAACAGTAACCTGCCCTGCCAGAGTCCAACATATCAACTGCAGTGGTTTTGCTGGATCCCACATAACCATTACTCCAGCTTCTCTTGGATATCTGATCTCGTGCTTCAGGTACCA